AACCATAGACCAGACATTTAAGCTGCCATATAGTCGTACCTTGAACACAATCCTTCACGCCTCCGATCACACAAGGATGCAACAGAGTACACATAATCGCAAAGCCAATGCATTACCTTTAAGTATATTAACTTCAAATTGTTAGTCGCCCTGTGTTGATTCACATTAGCGTCACTCGTCGAATATTTAATTATCGTATTCAGTCTATTGGGTATTTTAAACCGCCTGCCACACTTCGCCCGAACTGTCAGGGCTGCTATAAAACTACCCAAGGGAATGTCCGTGTTTTATGCGTGTTTTATGCATGTTTTATGCATGTTTTATACAGGTTTTATTACACTTATGGCTATTGTATTGCAACAATTACGAGACATAACATTTATCCTGCTTAGACACTCTTCCGACCTCCGAGGAGAGAATAATATTGTGTGTAGTCATTAACGGAATCTGTGGGTGTTTTATGCCATCACATTTCAATCATTCGCCACCCATATGGTATTTTTGTAGAGCGACCACTTAGATACGCCGTGTGTGAAATACGAGCAAGATAAATGGATGTTGTGCTATTATTAACTCCATAGGGATTATAGGTTTGGTTAAAGACTTGGCTAGATGTTGGGTGTATCTCGTGTCACTGTAGACGGTTTTAGTAATCTATAATGTAATCTTCACTGGTGACGTCGTAGGTTCGGTTTAACGCCTCTTTGAACGGTATTCCTGTTTCGCGATGTGTCAGATTTACCACCTTGGTGCTGACAAACCTAGAAACATAATCGAGGCGAACTGGGACTCCCACCCCCTTCCATAGTAGTTTGGCGTTCCCAAGGGACGCAACTCTGCACTGCGAATTGCGGCGCCTTTGACGTTTGGGCCACCCGTGTTCCCGCAGGTGGACACCGACTATTTATAACTGTGTTTAAATCTGGGGGGCATTGTTGTTGGGAATGTTGATAATATCCAACGTAGAATTCCATTCATTTAACCTTGCATTTGAAATTTTAGACGATACAGAGGAAATATGCTGCTTCTTACTGTGGTATGTAAGAATTATACTGCTAAATACAAGTCGTACAAGTTTTTCACTGAGTAAGTGATTGGGTGGGTGGTTGAATGGTTGAGTGAGTGGTTAAGTGAGTGAGGGGTTGAGTGAATGGTTCAATGAGTGAGTGGTTGAGTGAGTGGTTGAGTGAGTGGTTGAGTGAGGGGTGTGTTTAAGTGGGTGATTTGTTGAGTGGTTGAGTGAGTTGTTGAGTGAGTGGTTGAGTTACTGATTTGGCTGAAATTGTGAGTGAGTGGTTGAGTGGTTGAGTGAGTGGTTGTGTGTTTAAAAGGGTGATTTGTTGAGTGGTTGAGTGAGTTGTTGAGTGAGTGGTTGAGTTACTGATTTGGCTAAGAGAGTGAGTGAGTGAGTGAGTGGTTGAGTAAGTGGTTGTGTGTTTAAGTGGGTGATTTGCTGAGTGGTTGAGTGAGTTGTTGAGTGAGTGGTTGAGTTATTGATTTGGCTGAGATTGTGAGTGAGTGAGTGTGTGAGTGAGTGAGTGAGTGAGTGGTGTGTTTAAGTGGGTGATTTGTTGAGTGGTTGAGTGAGGTGTTGAGTAAGTGGTTGAGTTACTGATGTGAGTGAGTGAGTGAGTGGGTGAGTGAGTGAGTGAGTGAGTGAGTGAGTTTAAGTGGGTGATTTGTTGAGTGGTTGAGTGAGGTGTTGAGTGAGTGGTTGAGTTACTGATTTGAGTGAATGAGTGAGTGAGTGAGTGAGTGAGTGAGTGAGCTGAGCTACTGATTTGGCTGAGTGAGTGAGTGAGTGAGTGCGTGTAACATTTTGAAAGTAAAAGACAGTTTTGGGGGAAATGTCTAGGATAAGGTGATGAGTTCTTTGTGGTTTCACTGATCATGGTGACATTAACCTTCATTGACCGAATGGACGGCCTGCCACTACAGTGTTAAACGTTAACCATCATCTTCTACGGATATCTGATATTATGAGACACCTGATACAATTGCAATACTACGAGAATGACATAGTCCTTCTCAAATACGAATTCCTATTAATGTTTGCAAATTACTGTTTCAAATTACTTCAGGAAACACATCAAAGGCAGTTCGTATTTTTATCTTTCTGAGATTGCTAATCATTGTCCGGCCCAAGATGAAATACACTGGATTCCTTCCAATTAAATATCCAATAAACCGTTTCCAACGTTTAGGGAGCATTTGGGGGAGTTATGAGTCAGTGAATGATTTGGAAATCGTATAAAATATATTCTTTTATGTTCATATTTTAAATTAGTTTGTGTGGATATATTTTATATTTAGTAGATAAATATACTGTGTTTTCAATTTAAAGTTGAATTTAATTTGAACCCGAACGCGCAGCGTGAGGTTTCAAATGATAAATTTAGCGTGGTTAAATCTACAGGTAACATAGCTCTACATTTAAACACAGTATGTTTATTTCCATTCTACCGTGACTAAAGAAAACGCGAACACTTTGGCGTTGGCAAATATATACTGAGAGAAGCAGCATTGGTTGAGTCCACCCACGCTCAAGGAGTTGTTCATCCATATATCTTATCCTTACTTAGTACTCCAACTTCTAAATGCCCCACAAACTTTATATTTTATTTGATACTGCAGAGCCCATTGTGAAAATTCATTTCATCATCGATTGAACCTTATATGATGACTTTAGGGAGCATTATTGTCAGCTATCGATAATCTCGGAGGACAAAAAAAGCTGCTAAATGACCCAAACCTAAATGTTTTACTGAATACAAATATATTCTTGGCTGTTACACAAAAATATAGAAACGGCTAACAAATTCAGTAGCTAGCATTTTATTTTTTCCAAATTGTTAAATCTATTTATGACTACATATGCATATGTAGGAGATGCAATTGTAGCGATGTTTTGATTGACGTTCTGACACTGTTAGTGACAATAACATGGACATATTGATACCAGAGTAGCAAACACAGGCGATTTTAAACATCATTCAAGTCTAGTTTGATGGAAATAGCTTTGTTAAAGTGGTGTCAGCGTGAATCCACTTCGTGCTATACCTCATACATACACGTGGAAGTGAGTGAGTTGGGTTTAACGCCACTTTTAACAGTATTCTAGTTATATCACCGCGTGTCAGCTTAATGTGGGAGGAAAGCCCGAAGTAATGTAGGTCTTAAATGTTTACCACTTCGGTGAAACCCACGAGCACGGGTATGGTGCTGACAAACCTAGAAACATATATCGGGTCGAACCGGGATTCGAACCCACAATTAATGGGTTTCTGGCGTGCCCAAGGACGTAACTCTGCACAACGAATCCCGGCGCCTTAGACGACTGGGCCACCCCTGCCCCCGACACGTGTATGTATGTATTCATGCATGTCGATCTGACTTGTTGAGATGTGCGGTGAAATGGGGTTTAACGTCGCGTCCAAGATTATTAAACTTATATAGCGACGTGCATGCACGTGTCTGTGTGTGGCTGCTTGTACTAGTCCGAACATATGCCGATTTAAAGTGCTATCCCACTGAGATACCATGCCGCTGTTTAACATGAATACCCCACTCAGACACAGTACACTGACTCCGAGCCGACCAGTCTTTGCTTTAGCCCCAAAATGCCGAGCGACAGGGTAACAACAAGTACCATCTTTTAACTTCTTTTGGTATGATGCGGTCGGGAATTGAACACCGGATATCCCGCTCTCCGAACAGGCGCTCTACCAGTGGACCATGGGGGCGGTCTGTTGAGATGTGCATTAAATGTGTCCCACACACAACGCAGAGAGTCAACGATTAAAACTGTCATGTGGAGATGGAGTGAGTGGGTCAAAGTTATACGTGCTGACTGATAAAAATGTTTGACCCTGTGAATTAGTGAATGTTTAACGCCACAATCAGCAACATCCTGCTAAATATCACCACGGCATGTAAATAATCAACTCTGGATCAAACAAAACAGTGACTAAAAGCACGAACAACAACACGGGCACTCCAGCCCAATGACAAGAAATGTTTAAACAGATGACAACACAGTGTTGACGATCAGCTTCTTCATTACAATTGTAACGGCGTTTCTGTTTACATTCTCCCCTTCTATTATGATGCGTGCGATGCACAGAGTATGTAGCATTAATTGTGTAGTGAAAGTAAACAACGATATATTTGTACCGGAGCGGTATACATACAAGAATAACTTAGATGGATTAATGTGATTTAAGTCAGCTGTATATGGGTGGGTGAAGTGGGTATTGAAGCCGGTTGTATATGGATGGTGAAGTGGGTATTGAAGCCAGTTGTATATGGGTGGGTGAACTGGGTATTGAAGCCAGTCGTATATTGGTGGGTGAAGTGGGTTTTGAAGCCAGTTGTATATGGGTTGGTGAAATGGGTATTGAAGCCAGTTGTAAAGGGTGGGTGAAGTGGGTTTTTAAGCCAGTTGTATATGGGTGGGTGAAGTGGGTATTGAACCCAGTTATACAAGGGTGGGTAAAGTGGGCATTGAACCCAGTTGTACATATGTGGGTGAAGTCAGCGAAGCAACTGCTATGCGGCGACAAGAAACACTTACTTGTTTCTTCAAAATATGTGAGTGGCGGGTGCACCGGTAGGGATGCAAATGTATCTATCTGATCCTTACCAATTACGAAGTAATGAAAGATATGAAGTAATGAATACGCTGTGAAACGTTGCGTCCCTTAGGAACGCCAGGAACCTGTGATCATGGGTTCGAATCCCGATTACGTTTCTAGGTTTAGAAGCACCATAGTTTGAGACCTGCATCATTTCGGGTTTCCTCCTAATCAAGGTGGCACGCCTTGATGTAACTGGAATACTGCGGCGCTAAACCCTACTCACCACTCACTCACTCACTCACTCATTGTGCATGTGACATGCCAAGTTAACATAATGTTGTAAAACAGCTGCGTGTGTATTTTAATCGCTCACTCAAAATATGTTGGACATAATCTTAATTGATTAAATTTTAATGTTTTCAGCAAGAACGAAAGTCAGAGACCGTGGTTCCGGGTCAACGACACCGAAGAAAGAAACAATATGGCGCGTGAAGCTTACGAGTCGGTCATGACCATCACCCTGAAGAAACCAACAAGTCCGGAGTATCACGCATTCTCCGAGGAGGTGAAAAGAAGAGCCAGTCTTATGTATAAAAACTTCACATATGGGGAGGAAGAGGTAAGACAAACCATTTTTTAAGAAATAATTTCATGTATAAGATCACATTTATTCAAGAAAACCAAAACGAAAAAGTTTACACTTGAAAATTGGATTTGACAAAAATATTGCAAATCGTAAAAAAAACGTTACGAATCTGAAAACATTTGCCGAAACTCTTCAAACTTAAGCTCCAAAACACAAGTATGATGCCATACATCAACTTCGAATGACCATTTCTTGACTGTTTCGTTTTAAGTCACCATCAAACATGAATCCCTGATTACGTCATACCAAAAGACCTTAAAAGATGGTACTTGTTGTTACCATGTCTGGCGCTCGGCATTAAGGGGCTAAAACAAGGACTGGTCGGCTCGGAGTCAGTATACTGTGTCTGAGTGGGGTATTCATGTTAAACGGCGGCATGGTATCTCAGTGAGCTAGCACTATAAATCGGCATCAGTCCGGACTAGTACAAGCAGCCAAACACACACACACGTGGATGCACGTCGCTTTATAAGTGTAACAATCTCGGACGCGACGTTACACCCCATTTCACCTCATCTCACCTCAAACTCAAACATAAGAGTATACATTCTTTTGTCCAGTAGTTTAAATCAAGCTTCACGAATACCTGTAGCCATGACAGATGAAGTATAGTCATACCAAGAAACGGGGGTTCTTGAACTTGTTTTGAGTAGTATGTGTGTACATGCAGTTACATAAACTCCATGTGAAAATCAGTCTTCATTTTAGTTAACAGATATTGTGGATATACTTCACTCAAATAAGACTGTATTGATCATTCTGGTCAGGAACTTCATAATGACTGCTGTTGGTCAGAGAGATTGCCCGCTTGAAAATATATTTTTAAGGAAAATGTCACATTTAAGATTGTGATTTTATCTCGTTAGACAGTTACAGAAATAGGACAAAACAGCATTGTTATTACATTTCTCAGTTAATTATTCCGTCGATTGGGTCAATCCTCCTACATAAACAACGTAACGTCGATAATTTGGAATGTGTCGCGAACCTTTGAAAGTAAATTAAATGAACCTAAATTGAATAAAATAATGACTTCTCTTTATGCTGGAACGCTATTGATGACTGTTAATTGACGACCTCCACATGGTATTTCCAGAGCTTTAAAACCCCATTTAAGTGGTTTCTGCGTGATTGCACTTTGTGCGTAAACCTGTGTCTGTTTATGCATATCGATTTGACTTGTTGAGATGTGCATTAAATGTGTTGATAACACAATGCACGGAGTCGGCTATTAAACACGTCACGTCACGTCACGTGAGAGTGTTAATGTTCTAATACCCTCTGACAGAAAGCTGGACTCAGTTTCTGTTCTATTACTGAATGACCGCCTTCCGTGGCTTAGTGGATAGAGCGTCAGCCGGGAGAGCGGTAGGTCGGTGGTTCGATGCCGTGTCCAGTCATACCAACATATGGTGTCATTTAGATCATTCTTGTCACAAACTTTATAATGGTTGCTGTTGGTCAGTCAGATTGACAGATCGGCCGGACTAGTACAAGCAGCCACACACAAACACACACACACACACACACACACACACACACACATACACACACACACATGTACACACACACACACACACACAAACACACACACACACACACACACACACACACACACACACACACACACTCACACACACACACACACACACACACACACACACACACACACACACACACATGCGCGCGCACACACACACACACACACACACGCACACACACACGCACGCACGCACGCACGCACACACACACACGCACACATGTACACACACACACGCACACACATACACACACACACACACACACACACACACACGCACACATGTACACACACACATACACACACACACACACGCACACATGTACACACATGTAAGTCGCTATAGAAGTGCAATGAATTTAGACGCGACGTTAAACCTCACCTCACCTCACCTCACCTCACCTCACCTCACCTCACCTCACCACGACATCAACCAGACAAAGAAGCCTGACAATTCGATCCTGTTCAGACAGCTTCTACGACAGGCGATGTATACTGGTGAGTGACACATTCGTTCCCACATCCTCACGGTGTACAACAGTGATTACATAGCATAGCATGATTCACAGCCAATGAAGTATATATTTACCGAATAATATTTTCTCGAATCGAAATCGAATCGTGAAAATAAATAGTTGTTTTGCTGAGGGAGTAAATGTAAGGCATATATATCCATTCTCTATCCACCAATGTTCATTTCAAGGCGTCAATAGCGGTAATCTGACCATGGTTGTTGTAAATAACGGTGAGTTGTCCGATCTACCGATCCCTTCACATACGATTTCGCCGAAATGAATGTAAATAATATTGAATGAAATTATGAATAAAATTAGTAAATAAATGTCCATATATACAATGAACACTTTTTAGACAGTGTTATTACATGATTAGTTTGCGTACCTCAGTATGGATTTGCTGACATGATATTTCCGGTGTTACGTGCTCACAGTAATGTCTTTGTGTTGGGGAAAAAAACATCAAAACTCTTAAACCCTGTATATAGGACGAACCCCCATGAACGCCCCATATTTATAGGTAGGAAAAGACCGCTCTCGTGGTCTAGTGGTAGAGCGTCCGCCCGGAGAGCGGAAGGTCCGGCGTTCGATCCCCGACCGCGTCATACCAAAAGACGTTAAAAGATGGTACTTGTAGTCAGTATACTGTGTGTGAGTGGGGTATTCATGTTAAACTGCGGCATGGTATCTCAGTGAGCTAGCACTATAAATCGGCATCAGTCCGTCCGGACTAGTACAAGCAGCCACACACACAAATACACGTGCATGCACGTCGCTATAAAAATGCAATAATCATGGACGCGACGTTAAACCCCATTTCACCTCACCTCACCTATAGGTAGGAAAAACTCGCCTTACACAGCGATATACGGTAGTATATTGATATCACTTTGTTTAAACGCAAATACACATCCTCCAGGGTACCGTTGTACAAAAAAATCTTAGCGCTTGTAAGCCTATGTTAAGGTATGGGACTCGCGGCCCCTTCGAGCTAAGATCGCTTTGTAAAATAGCACCTTGAACATAGCTCATAAATATAAAACGTCAATGCCGCAGAAAAGCCAGTCTCGACTCCATGTCGAATGAATTGTTTCCCTTAGTCGCACCTGGATCCCAAGACGTGCACTTCCCCGCTTATGATCCGTGATCTTCAGAACCATACCTGTGACCCTTGGTGGTAGAGATTTCGTCCACAGCTAAACTGACATTATATTTAAAATTACAGCGTTGCTTAAACCGAAAATCATCAATCTGATGTTGCTGTCACATTTTATGACCCAAACAAATTCATATTAATTCACATATTTCACCGATAATATTTCTAGGTTTATCAGCACTGTACCCGTGCTCGTGGGTTTCACCGAAGTGGTAAACGTCTAAGACCTGCATCACTACGAGCTTTCCTCCCTCATTATGCTGACACGCCGTCATATGACTGGAATACTGTTCAAAAACTTACTCACTCACGTATTAGTATCATTGGCAGTAAGTGATGTTGTCGTTAGGTCGTCCAATTTGAACCACTTTCCGATTGAACACAAGTACTCGTTAGTAGCGTTCAATCATGTTTTACGGTATCGGTTGTAAGAGCGTGTTTGCTCAGACCTTTTAACGACAGCATCTTGAATGTGCACCAGGATTCTTTTGATCATGTAAAAAAATAAAACCGTAAAGAAAAATCTAAGCAAATAAAAAAAACCTCTGATGCACATTTCACACTTGTCAAAATTGTAAACAGAATTTATAAAAAAGCACCACAAGAGCACCTCTCCATCAAACTTCTACAAGATAGATAAAAGACGAGACCAACAGGAATAACGGTTTACTGACAGACATCCTTTCATCATGTCAAGCATTCAATCTTTATTCTCTTCACGTTTTCAGCTAACACGCGTTCCTTCCACATTTGTAGGTTAACAGTTTCGTAGGGGCCTTCCACGACGCCGTCGTCCTTTATGCCCTGGCGTTGAATGAAACCCTCCAAGCTAATGGATCTGTATCTGACGGTAGTGCCATTACAAAGAGGATGTGGAACAGGACTTTTGAAGGTAAAACCCCTTTATCACTAAACTATGCTCGATGGGGGCTTATCATGCATTCCGCGTAGCCCTTACCGAGTCCTTGATTTATTTTGAGTGGATCATAATACGCAAAGTGGGCTTGGGGTTCTTTATCCAAATGGCATTTACTCGATGGGATTTATTCTTGATTCTGTACATCCCTTATCGAGCATGGCAGCTATTTTAAATGGATCTTAAATGAAGTTTTTAAATGAAGATTCAAATCTTGTCACCATGGGAATATCAAAACGGCGACACGGGAAAATGCCTTTATTAGGAAAACGTCTGCAGTTGATTATCCGTCGAAAGCGTAATGTTTTTGGAACCAATTTGCGTTTATATAGTGTTTCGTATCAGATAATCCTTTTTGTGGGAGACAGATTAGAATTTCGCGTGAACCAATATGTAACATTTTGTAATGTGTCTAGATTGGCTTGGGGAAAGTTGATCCTAAAGTTAAACACTAAAGGGACATACGATTTCTACTTCAAGAAGTGTTTTTGTTTAAAACGGAATTGTATCTTTATAGCCAACGCCGAAGGATGTGTTTTTCTTGAGTTCTGTACTTTGATGTCGGTGGTCTTAAAATGAATCTGTTTTGTTTTTCTTAGCTTCCTTTGTAAGAAAACACACCATACTGTCTTTAGGGTCCGTCTGGAAACTTTATGTTATATTATTTTATTAACCTCCGCGTTGTGGTCCCGGCAGAATATATATTTTTCTATGTTGGGTTTTTCTCGTTCCTGGGATCAAAGTACACACGTTTTTTCCCGCAGTATTCCACTTGATTTAGATAATCTTTGGTAGTATTAATTAATACAACTTACTGCTTCTCTAACCCAGAGAAGTTTAAAGCCATTAGCCTAAGGAAGAAAAGTAAATGTGCAATAAATAGATTTATATGAATTTGAATGTGATGACGGTGTTACCTTGCTTGGTGGTGTGATTCGTGATGATCCGGGTAGAGAATAGTTCTCCAGCAACCCATGTTTACTGTAAGATGCGACTGCGCTTGACGTAAGCTTGTCCCGACTAACGGGATCGGGAGGTCAGGCTTGCCGACTTGATTGATGCATGTCATCGGATCCGAACTGCATGGATCGATGCTCATGATATCAATCACTGGATTAACTAGTCCAGACTCGGTTATTTACAGACCGCCGTCATACAGCTGGAATATTGCTAAGTGCGGCGTTAAACAACAAACAAACAAAAATACCTTGCTTGGAGTAAATACTAACTGCCTGCTGACCTTCAACAATCACATGGGCGGTCGGGTAGCCTTGTGGTTAAAGCGTTAGCTCGTCACACCGAAGACCCAGGTTCGATTCCCGACATGGGTACAATGTGTGAAACCCATTTCTGGTGTCCCCCGCGTACTTGCTGGAATATTGCTAAAAGTGGCGTAAACCTGAACTCACTCACTCACTCAACAATCACATTGCCAACTTGTACAAAAAGACTGCAAACAACTTGCATTTCTTAAACGCACGTGTCAATTACTCACAAGGCAGGTCAGATTGTTATGAGAACGTCGTTCATTCGCTCGAAGTTCAACTAATGTCCCTTCATTTGGCGCTTCTGTGCCGTCACCAGCACTACAAAGCTTGAAATCATTCAGAAACGAGCCCTTACATGTGTTTCTAATGACAACAATAGTCCCCCACCAAGCCCCTTATCTGTAGCTGACACTAACTATCTTCATGTGAAAAGGCCATGGCACGGGAACTTTACAAAATTGTAATTTAAAGTTTACAGCAGCTAACCTCCTCCAACTTAGGCAGGAACCTAGAGCGGAGATTCCCCGTGTAACCCCATTTAAGTTTGGACTGCATTCATTTGTTATTAAGCCATCAGAATCTGGAATTGTCTGCCCAATGATTTTCGGAAAGCTGAATCAAACAGAGGTTTCTGCAGGCGTCTTTGGAACTGGTCAGGCCCCATATGCAAATGCTGTATACGTACATACTTTAAAAAGTATGTTGAATCAGTCATACATTAGAAACATATAATTAGAAAACATATTCCGCTAACAATGTAACATAACAATATTAATATTGCCTTTTCCCTCTTTATTTATTATAACGTATTTGAATCATTATCTATCGTGTTGTTGTCCGATTTTCGATCACGAACGTTGATACTTCCTATTTTCGTTTATCCGACATGCTCGTTAATCCGACATTATCATATGCAACCAACTATGTCGGATTAACGGGACTTGACTGTACATGTATAACAAATTATTTTCCTCTGTAGTTTCCTTTTATTTCCTTTTAGCTATCTTACTGTAAATAAATCTTATGTTTAAGCTTCCCACGTACTTTAGACATTTCAGTTAAATATTGATTTCTCATAACCTGTCTTTTGGGAATAACTCTAAAGAAATAATGTTACACTGTACCTGTAATAATCGACCTAAAATATTTTGTTTGTATCCCGTGTCCATTTTGATATGATATTATACACTGGCCTTGCCAACAAGTGCACTATTATCTTGGAAACCAAACCTCAATAAATTGACAAGGCATGAGTGTTCGCAAAACAGTTAAGTTAAAACAGTTTTGCTAATCATTAACATACTCGTAATATTAAGGTTTCTACTTGAAAAGGAATCTTCCTCTTGTTCAAATCCGTTTACTACTAAGGGTGCAACGATACACCGATATTCCGATGCATCGCGATACTTGACCAACGATACGATATACGATAAACGTAGGCCCATTTATCGATACGCCACGATACGGAACGCAAATCTCAAGTACAGCGTTTCCTCGCTTTTGTGCCTTTCAATAAATCGCTAACTTGGTTATAGCGCGCGGTAACGCATGGCTCCCAGAAACGTACTTACATTTTTAATAAGCTCAGGTTTTACACCGACAGATGTTTTTCCCCATCTCAAAAAACATTATCAGCTGATCCCCGCAAGCACATAACAATGGAAATACCTGTCAGCAAATCCGAACTGAAGCACGCAATTCAATACCATTATCATACTATCTTGTTATTAAAACGTGTTCATTGTATATCTGGACTTGTGTTTGTAATATATTTTAATAGTTTTTTTCAAAATTTCATTTAATATTGTTTTCATTAAGTTATGTGAAATCGTGTGTGAAGAGATACAGCAACCACAGTCAGATTACCGCTTTTGACGCATTGAAACGAACTTCAGTTGCTATAGAATGGATACATATATTAAAAATCCATACTTTGACTCGTTAAAAGTCATATTTGTGGCAATTTGGCTGATATATGTCAAGATAACGTTTTCGCAATCGAAATACATGTAGCACGGGAAGTGCCTAGGGTGACTGGTCAAATTGTTCCAAATTGCGTAAATAATCCTGCAACAGCAATCACCAGTACCAAAATGCTACACTTGTGGTTCTTATAATTTTAAATATATATATAATAAAAGCTGCAACTAAGGTAACACGCTATTGGAATATATTATTCCTGATAAAACAATCATTTCAGATACAATTTCTTCGACCATTGCATCAAAATTCTTTGACGTTGTATCACTGGTGGAGCACATTAATTATTTTCTGGTGTTTGAACTTTGAATTGTTTTGAAGGAAAGTTAGAGAAAGTTCCACTTTGAAGCTGAACAACTTCAGTAGTCTTGTTATTATAAAACAATTTTGACTGTTCCAAAATCATGAAAGGTGCAATCTTGACATGCTTTAAGTCTTGTTTTTTTATCATTGCGTATCGAGATACGTATCGTATCGTGACCAGAATATCGAGATGCGTATCGTATCGTGACCTTCCTGTATCGTTACAGCCCTATTTACTACATGTACAACAACCTTTTCAGTAATCTGTACAGCACTTGTTACTTCCATCAAGTCCTGCTCATAAGTTTTTTTATCAAGGTTATAAGATTCAAGACCTCAGTAAAGCTTTCAAAAACTGTTCATGGTAGCCATTTCCAAATTTCACGCAACAGTGACAACAATGATAAATTCTACATGTTTCAATGGACTTGCCTTTGCATGTGTTTGGGACGGGTGTCACCGGTGGGGCAGGATACTCTCACCTTTTCACTTACCCCTGGTGTAATTACTATATAATAGGGGGGCACGGGTGGCCCAGTCGTATAAGGCGCCGCAATTCGCTGTGCAGAGTTGCGTCTCTTGGGCACGCCAGAAACCCATGATTGTGGGTTCGAATCCCGGTTCGCCCCGATTATGTTTCTAGGTTTGTCAGCACCATACCCGTGCTCGTGGGTTTCACCGAAGTGATAAACGTCCGAGGACTGCATCGATCACTTTGGGCTTTCCTCCCACATTAAGCTGACACGCCGTGATATAACTGGAATAGTGTTAAAAGCGGCGTTAAACCCAACTCACTCACTCACTCACTATACAATAGTGATTCATCAGCACGTGCTCATGATATAGTCGGAATCGACCCTGCTTCTTGGAGGGATTTTCTATGAATATGGAAAGTGTGCTATTCGCTTGTCTTTTCATTGATCATTATGTACACTGTCGCAACTGTGACCTAAGGTGCAGGTTATACAGTTACAGAAAAGTAAAAGTCCCATTTCAGGTATTACTGGAACAGTGAGCATAGACGCCAACGGGGACAGGAACGCTGATTACTCGTTGCTGGATCTCAATCCAGTAACTAACAAGTTTGAAGTAAGTTTTATATACATGTATCATCCATAGCACGAACATGTTTAAGTAACTTTATCTAACTCATCTAGACATCTAAGTTTGAAGTAAGCGTGTCAATCCCATCCACAGAACTCCAATTTACTACATGAACAAGAACATGTAGCCTACCTCAACCAAAGAACAATGGTTTGAAGAAAGGTGTATCTATATCAGCCAAAGAGCACGGGTGGAAGTAAACTTTAACTAGCTCAACCCAAGAACATTGGTTTGAAGGAAGGTGCAGCTCTTTCAACCCAAGAACACGAGTGAAAGTAAAGTTTAACCAGTTCGATCCAATAACATTTGTTTTAAAGAAAGGTGGATCCCTCTCAACCCAAGAACACGGGTGGAAGTAAACTTTAACTTGCTCAACCCAAGAACAATGCTTCAAAGAAAGGTGTTTCTATATCAGCCAAAGAGCACGGGTGGAAGTAAACTTTAACTAGCTCAACCCAAGAACAATGCTTCAAAGAAAGGTGTATCTATATCAGCCAAAGAGCACGGGTGGAAGTAAACTTTAACTAGCTCAACCCAAGAACAATGGTTTCAAGAAAGGTGTATCTATCGCAACCAAAACCAAGGGGTGAAAGTAATATTTGCTCAAAACAAAGAACATGAGTTTTAAGGAATGCATACTATCACTTATCTCAACCAAAGAACATGCGGTGGAAGTAAAGTTTAACGTGAACTATCTCAATCCAAGAACATGGGTTTAATGAACGATTTTACATATTTCAACCCTAAATCGCACGTCTGAAGTAACGTTTATCTACTTACTAGTTTCCAAACCCGTGAGCATAAGTTTGAGTAAGATTCATCCATCACAATCTAATATAATGGAATCCAAGTAAGGTTTGCGTATGCTTATACGTGTAGTCTTATCCTGGTAACACGGGTTGAAGGTAATTTTTACTATCGTGATCAAGTTCCTAGGCACTATGTTTGAAGAAAGTTGTTGCAAGTTTTGAATTAGTTCTGTCCAAAAGTTCAATTGATTCGTCTCACACCAAGAACTGGATTTGGACATCAAACGAAGAAGTTTGAAGTAAATTAGTGCTTAACCTTCCAACTCAGTTTTCTTTACATCCCCGCGTACATTGAAGACGCAAGGTGCAAATATATTCGACCAATGAGTGGTATCATTTGCCCTTTTGAGAAGTCTTTTAGGAGAAGCCTTTGATTACAGTTTTTATATGTCAGAGGATGCAAATATACCATTATTTCATTTGCACTTAATTAACGAAAGGTCATGTTTCTTATTTCATCAATAAAGTATAGCATAAATATGAACATGATTTCTGTCAGAATGTATCTGAAACGATGGGTTTGTTAAAAGGCCGTTTGTAGTTATTATTAATGGAAATACGTTCCTAACTGCCGTGTCAGAACCTAACGAGATAAAATGACAAACGGAATGCCACAACCGATGATACAAGTTCCTTTCTACCGGTACATGACAAACTGTCTGTAATCAGGTTTGACAAATGTGGAATAGGCATTGGAACTTAAGACCATGTTTCTGTTGTCTGACTGTTGCCATGATTGCATTGTATGGATATTTGATTACTGCTAACGGTGTTTGCTCCATTGTCCCCACAGTAAAGGAACAAACGAGAAACCGTATATATTTTAAGAGTTTCTTAAAAGCCTGTTTGATCATCGATAAAATTTCTTGTTGATTTCGTGCTGTGTTTCGATAAAATCGAAAAAGCATATTTCTGGATTGCGTTCCTGTTCGGGGATGGTGAAATGGAATATTTGTCAGACTTCACAGTAGATGTAAAAAATAATATATTTCGATCTTCTGGTTTCGGTAGTATCATATGCCTGAAATCTAACAGTTTCAGGAGACTCAACATTTGGATCTCTTACTTGACCTTACATTTACCACTGAACCACATGAAACCGGGCCTTGGGCGCAATTTCATAAAACGATTGGACATTGTGTGGCAACGGTCGTCACTTCCATACTTGTTAGTTGTCTAACGTAGATAACGTGCTGAGCGTCATTTATGGAAGGATCGTGATATAACATTCATTATTGACTGTTGAGTTCACTAACATTCACTCACTCACACAGTGGCAACAGCGGCCATAACATGATACTCCGTTGACGACACCACCGTTGCTGCAACTACATGTATCTTGTAACGTAACGCTGTTGCTTCATCTACGTGTATACTGTAACTATTGTAACTGATGTAACTGTTTTGTAACTATGTGGTATCTATGCTGTAACTATGCTGTAACTATATTGTTACTATATTGTAACTGATGTAACTATATTGCAATTGATGCAACTATATTGAAACTATGTTGTAACTATATTGTAATTATGGTGTAACTATATTGTAACTGATGTTACTAAGCTGTAACTATGCTGTAACTATGTTGTAACTGTGATGTAACTGTTGTAACTAAGTGATATCTGTGTTGTAACTATATTGTAATTATGGTGAAACTATATTGTAACTGATGTTACTAAGCTGTAACTATGCTGTAACTATGTTGTAACTGTGATGTAACTGTTGTAACTCAGTTATATCTATGTTGTAACTATATTGTAACTATATTGTAACTATGTTGTAACTGTGCTATAACGATGTTGTAACTATGTTACAACTATGCTATAATTATGATGTAATGCTGGTGTTACAAAAAGAATAATTGTACTGTATTACCTATTAGTTTCCATTTCCGTCACCAGGTGGTTGCCAACTACTATGGAAGCAGGAAGCGATACATACCCGTTCCCGGGACAGCGATCCATTGGGCAGGGGGGAGGAGCTCCGCACCCCCAGACACGCCCAGATGTGGATACGATGGCTCCAAGTGTCCCCCTGAAGGTTGGACCTACATGTTCATGTGTTTTGATAAAGACAATATCTGTGGGTTTAGCAAAGTGATAAACGTCTGAGACCTGCATCACTTCGGGCTTTCCTCTCACATTAAGCTGACACGGGATATAACTGAAATACAAAGCGGCGATAAATCCAACTCACTCACTCACTGTGAGGAGCTGAGATATTGATATATTTTTCTTCAAATATTTTTTTCCCAGAAATACTGAAAAATATAATATGGCCACACATTATACTACAACAGTGAGTGAGTGTGATTTTATGCCGCTTTTAGCAATATGCCAGCAATATCATGTCAGGGGACACCAGAAATGGGCTTTACACATAGAACCCATGTCGGAAATCGAACCCAAGTCGTCGGCGTGACAAGCGAACGCTTTAACCACTAGGCTACCCGACCGCCCCTTATACAACAACAAAAAAATTGTCCCCTGGACATGTCTTTTCAAACTGTTTAATTAAACAAATTGTATGACTTAAAGCACTGAATGGAAACTATTGCATCCCTACCAAAACTAAACCAACCTCTCCACCCTCATCCGAACACCTGCTGGTAATATATGACCAATCGATGTCAGTTTCTATGCAAACAGTCTCCAATATCACCCAGATGCGCCCTGTACAAACTATAGGGCTAAGTGTTCTTGAGCACGCATTCATGACGTCTTTGTTTTCTTCTTTATTGATTTTTATTGTGTGAGTTAATGAGATTCAAAGTTCAAAGTAAGCATATGGTGAAATATATCTGTTAATTATACCCGTGTCCTTGAAATGAGTTGCAAAATATCGCAAAATCAATGTGATTGATTAAATGTACAATCGCTTCACCCGAAGCCTCTACACAATGTACACACGTAAAATAAATCTAATACCGTACGCAAATAAATCAAAGTGGCCACCTGTTCTGAAGAATTTCATACAGGTGTCACAAAAATCTGAGGCAATCTTTGAGAAAATAGCTCATCATCAGCGCATATTGTCAGCAACAACGAACATTTACAAATATACATCAGTATTAGTTTGTTTGTTTGTTGTTCAGCAAGATTTCAGTTATATGACGGCGGCCTGAATATAATCAAGTCTGAACCCAGTGATTGATATTGTGAGCAACGATCCACGTCGTCGGCTACGTTGACAAGCAGTCAACCACGTGGCTAGGCGTACCCGATCCATTTAGTTACGATCAGCGTAGATTGCTGGGAACCTTTACGAACCCGGCATCCCCATGGGGCACATCGGTTTTAGAGTCTTCCGGAGCATCAGTGTGAAAAGGACGCTTGAGAGACAACGCCTGACCAGATCTAACCACCATCAACGTCGTTTATAATGGCGACGGTGGATTTTCTAATTAGGAAGGGTCATAAATGATTCTCAAACATACCTTCTGCATCATAAAACTTGCAGTGAAAATTATATTGCCATCAATAATTTCACACTGGTTTTCAAACTGTTATTGGATAAATGATCACTTGAGGCATCTATTTCTGAGCTAAGCTCTAACCAAATAACATATTCTGATTTTGACAATGAAATCCGTCATGTCTACACTCTAGGGAGACGTGAATGTGGTGATAAAACATTCATACAGTCATTGTTTATTGGGCTTTTTCCCTTGCGTTTTCACGTTTCTTTATGTGTGACACTACATCCCATAATTATGAGGAACCTTTGGTCGTGATTTCAATGGTCTATAAACCCGTGAAGACCCGGGTGAGAATTGATCTTCAGCAACCCATGCTTGTCGTAAGAGGCGAATAACGGGATCGGTTGGTCAGCCTCGCTGACTTGGTTGCTGTATGTCATCGTATCCCAATTGCGTAGATCGATGCTCATGATGTCAATCACTGGATTGTCTGGTCCAGACTCGATTATTTACAGGCCGCGGTTATATGGCTGGAATATTGCTGAGTGCGGCGTTAAACAACTACATATCCACAGGTTTCAGAAAATAGGTAAACCTTTAAGATCTGCATCGGTAGCGCTATCTTTTCTTCTACAGAAAGCTACCTTTGTTTCTTTGAAGTCACGGTAGACAGTCAATATAAATGTTTATTTTTTTAAGTTAAAAAATATAATTTGTCATTATTATATTTTAAAATATATTTATCTATTTATTTGTGGGGGAGGGGTGGGGGATCCAATGCATGAACATGGGATCCTAAGGGGGCAAAAAATGGCATGCTTCTCTTATTGCAGAGGATTGTACTGAGGGCATCTCATTTCATATGCTCAGAAGCCTTAAGCAAGTTATAGATGGAAATTTCAATTTTAGATTTAAGGAAATCAACCACTGTGTGCATTTGGAACCAGAAATGACAGTTGTATGTAATATTCAACAAACATAATTTACATGTTTGATATATGATCATTTTTATTGTTACAAAAACTACTTCTACTGCGGACCAAAAGAAACTATATGTTTCAGTTAAATTTATCATATATCGGATTTTCAAATAAAAATACAGTAAAGTACGTTTATAACGAACACGTTTATAACGAACTAACCGATATAACGAACTTATTTTTTAGTCCCGACCATTTGTTGTATAAATCCTGTATATATGCCTATACCGAACTACGGTTATTACGAACTAAAATTAGTGGTCCCTTTGAGTTCGTTATAACCGTAGTTTACTGTAGCTCAAGTTAATAATATAATATCCCAAACATGAACTGTATTGTCGCTTAGACAGCACTCGATGAATACTTCTACATGGCTTCATTTTTCAAAACATAATTTGCTTTTAAACTTTTAAATATAAAAAAAGGAACAATTCGCATTATACACAACTGCTGAAGGGTTTCTTGGACATCTTACCAATGAAATTCAATATGGTTACTTTCTTCGGCACAAATTTACATTTGGAATGTGGAAGGGTTAATGTGGTTGCAAATCGTTTCTTACCCGAATCGTCGTTGAACCAATTTATTCTGACACAAAATTACCCAGCCACGTATTACTTTTTTCATTACTGTTGCAGGAATGAGTCATCGTTAAATAGACATAATCAAATTTAACAACTCGGTATACTTTCTTTTGACCTTCAATATAGTTGAGTGGTTTCAAACAGTTATATTTCGCAGTGTAAACGTTTGGCGTCCGTTCCCTATTTATATGCCTATTAAATGCCGGTAAAAGCATGCTTCAACTTTACTCATTCATGTCACAGCTTGCCTAATTCTACCATTTAGAAAAAAGAACACTAGATTATGATTTTTTTAGCTTTTGATTATAACAGCCGACCTGGCGGCACTGCATATTAATATAGCTTTCACTATTATTGAAGTGTGGGAAGTCAACATAACAAAGTTTACTGCATCGCAAACAAACAATGAACACATCGATATTAAAAGAACTACCAAGAACGTTGTTCCATTATTCCTGAGCGAAAGTTCATAATTGAAAAAATAAAAAAATAGAACTGAGATTTAAATCAATTTAAAACTGGTCCTTTTAATATGAATTCATATAATTGGCGGTGTAGATAATCTCTCTAATAGTGGTGAAAATCGTCATTCCAAGAAGCGCTGCTCGTTCAATTACTTTCACACATTACAAGCTTAAGGGTTATTCCTTCGTGAAGCCCGCAGTTTCTACCTTATTTTCTACAGACTACGAACGTTGCCGTCATTATAATATTATTCTATTATTAATCAATCGCTGAGCGTGCGTAACGCATTACTTGTCCTGACATATTTCTATATGATGTACATGTCAACAGTCCTTCAACAAGATTGATTGTTTTTATAGTCAATATTTGTGTTGAAGGCATGTCAATGCCTGCGCTCAGAATATAGCATGAAGTTCAACATTGGTATTTATCTGGTCAATATCAAGAGTGATTTGCACACAACAACAAACAAAGAATCTGACGTGTCAAACGATTTAGCATCTAAAAATGTTCAATGTGTCATTTTTAAGCTTTACACACATCATTAGTTAAATAAGTTTAATTTCCTCATGACTTTCGCGTTGTCACCCAAGGCAACAATAATGACAGATGACGTTCTTTGGTTATGAAAAATCAATGTTTCTCATGGATTTTTATTTCAATGTTATTGTTTGGCCTAAAAACACTAATTTCATTTATATAAACCGACGTTGTTTCATTTCGTATTTTTCATAGTCAAGCTAAACATGATATATAACTCTGTAATAGAACATGCGGGACGGTGGGGTAGCCTAGTGGTTAAAGCATTCGCTCGTCACTCCAGAAGCTCGAGTTCGATTCCGAACATGGGTACAATGTATGAAGCCCATGTGTGACGTCCCCTGTCGAGATATTGCTTTAACACTGCAAAAAGCGGCGTAAAACCGTCCTCATTCGCTAGGTGAGTGAGTGAGTATGGTTTTACGCCGCTTTTAGCAATATTCCAGCAATATCACGACGGAGGACACCTGAAATGGGCTTGACACATTGTACCCATGTAGGGAATCGAACCCGGGTCTTCGGCGTGACGATCGAACGTTTTAACCACTACCCGATCGCCCTCACTCGTTAGGAGTCTAAGGCTTCATAATTTGATGTGCAGTGTTGAGTTTGTAGTCTAAGATTCGATGATCGTGATTTCTATTGCTCTGCCAGGTCTATGTATAAGAAGTTATTAAAAGAAGTTAACGAACACACGATTTTCACTCATACGACGATAGTTAATCTGTCGTGGCCATGACAGACTAACTATTGTCATATAAAAGAATTGCGCGTTCTTAGGCTTCTTTGAGTAGTATATAGGTGTTCGTGTTTCATCAAATTGGTTAATGACTACGATCGACCGACATCATTTTATGCTCAAATTACTATAGAGTTGCATCTGCTTTACACCATTTCCTTTTTTCAGAACCCTTTCCTGAATATGGTATCGTGATCATCGTCCTCGGCTCCTTGCTTGTCATCGTCCTCATTGCTGTGTTCTTCATATACAGGTACAGGCTAGTTACAGAGTCATTTCCCACTGTCTGTAACGTTGTAATATGATAGTGGATCCCGGACGGGCTTGAACACTTTACTTGGTGTGTATTTTTTCTTGATCCCAAATGGCGAAAGGGATACCGCGTTAATGTTAAGGTTGACACCTATTTCTCAGACGAGAGAGAAGGAAGGAGAGAAAGAGAGAGGGGGAAAGACAGAGAGGGGGAAAGAGAGAGAGGGGGAAGAGAGAGAGGGGGGAAGAGCGAGAGAGAGCGTGAGAGATAAAGAAGAGAATGAGAGAGTGTGTGAGAGAGAGAGAAAGACAGAGAGGGGGAAAGAGAGGGAGAGGGAGGGAAAGAGATAGGGGGAAAGAGAGAGAGGGGAAAAGAGAGAAAGAGCAAAAGAGAGCGGGGGAGAGCGTGAGAGATAAAGAAGAGAATGAGAGAGGGAGAGCGTGTGTGTGTGAGAGAGAAAGAGAGAGAGGGAGAGAGAGAGAGAATCAGTCGGGGTGGGGGTGGAGGGTGACGATGGGGACAAAGGAACACATGCACATTTATGTAACATATAGCAAAGTTATACAAATGTCGGTTATTCTCTGGCGTTCACGCAAAGTTACAGACTGTGTCACAAACGAGCATTCAGCATCGACTCTTCGTTCATTAAATATTGCCACATCGCTACAACACGCAGACATTACGACAAAAATGAACAATGCGACAAACGCTGGTGTGATTGATTGCCGTTAAGTCAAGACCACGAAACAGACACTTTTGATATTTAACTGTGTTTGTTGCGGAATAACATTTTTGAGACGGTGATTCATCATGAACGTCCTTATTAGCGTTAAGCCGACATCTGTGTGCTTAAAGTTCTGACTAGATGTCTGCGTTCAATAAAGCTGTCATCAGTCGCGGTGTCCAATTTTCAAGACCTTTTCCATAACTAAGATCCCTTACGTCTTTGAGCGACATCTGCTGATGGAGGAGAACTGTACATTTGAAAAAGTGAGATCCGGGGTAATAGGTCTTCAGCAACCCATGCTTGTCGTAAAAGGCGACTTACGGCATCGGGTGGTCAGGCTCGCTGACATGGTTCATACATGTCATCGTATCCCAGTTGTGTGGATCGATGCTCATGATGTCTATTACTGAATTGTCTGGTCCAGAACGAAGAACGAACGAACGAACGAACATTTGAAAAAGACTTTAAGCATACTCACTCACTCACTCACTCACTCACTCACTCACTCACTCACTCTACCAAAAGGCAGAGGATGCCTTTGCACGGGTAGTGTAATTATTACCAAGTTACAACACTTGTCATGCGATAGTCTGTTTCAGTTTCAGTTTTTCAAAATGAATACGCTGACGTGTGCCGCCAAATTATTGATACAGGATACGCTTTTTAAAAATGGATATTTTTTCTGAAATATGTATTAGGCTTTCTTTATTTCTTTTTATCTGTTATGTGTGATTATGTATCCACAAAGGATCGTCAGCGCCACCTTTCCAAACCATCTCTCATATAAAAGTTTAATATGTGTTCTGAATATGTTATATCGCATTGACGCAGCGATTTTATACAATATTTGTATCTCTCGTCATATTGGACATCGTATAATTGTTCAGCTGAAATGTTTAAACGATATGTTGAATTTCATTTTTTTTGTATGTCTGTAGACGTGTGGGTGATTTTTGTTAAGCCCAGTATGTAGATTCACAGTTGTACTCATGACATAGCTGGGTGTTTTAGAGTGTGAATTAAAATGTTCACTGGAAACATTAAGCTGAAATCTCGTCAACTTGAATTATTCTATTATGTCGGTGAAACATTATATTTGTTTCTTAAGCCCCTCACACCTTTATCCTCAAACATTTAGTTGGCTGGTCGTTATATAACTGAAATAATGTTGAAAGATATGTTAAACTTCACCGAGTGATTGATTGAATACATTATTTAAGTATTCAATATCACAGTAAGTGAAGCCAACTTCTGGTGTCATTCTCCGTGATATTGCTGGAATATTGCTAAAAGCGGCGTAAAACCATACTCACTCACTCACTAACTGTATGTTACTATGGTCTTGGGGGTAAGACCGAACTGATGCAGGCGTTTTTATATCCTGTTGAAACCCAAGAACACGGGTATGGTGCTGAAAAGCCAAGGCTCATAATTCGAGCTAATGATTAGCGGATCCTGGTGCAAGTAAGGGAAGCAACTTAGAACTGCTGAGCCCCATTAAACCACCAGTCTCTACCATAGTAAATAATGAGAGAGTATAATCTACGAATAATGTTTAAACATAATCAGTTTCTAACTTCGAGATATGCATTGGTTCGACTGCCTGGGTTCGAGATATCTGACTGTATTACAGGCACATTCGTCTGGAGGCGGAGCTGGCGGAGATGAACTGGCGTGTGAGGTGGGAGGACATCTTGTTCGGGTCCCCGGAGAGGAACAAGAAGCTGGACAGACAGGGGAGTCGCCGGGGGGTCACTAGGGTGAGTTGTAGCTGACCTGTTTAGGGTGGTCAGGTAGCCCGGTGGTTACATTCGCTCGCCACGTCAAAGGCCTGGGTTCGATTCCCCGGATGGGTACAAAATGTGAAGCCCATTTCTGGTTTCCTCCGCCGGGGTGTTGCTAGAATGTTCCTAAAAGCGGAACACAACTACGCCAACTCACTAGGGTGAGGTGGCACTGCAATTTTGGGTCGGTGGGGGAGCGTAGTGGTTAAACCATTCATTCATCAAGCCGAGGGGACGGTTTCGATTCCCTACATAGGTACGATCTCTGAAGCCAATATCTGGTGTACCTCGCTGTTGCTTGAATTGTGTTAAAAGCATCGTAAAACAATACTCACTCAACTTACGTCTCAACAAAGTATGCGATTGATGCTTTTTTCATTTGTGATTCATCGCCTATATTGATTACATACGTGTATAGCTTTGATTCACGTTGTCCAAAGTGACGATTCACGTGGTCCAAAGTGACGAAGTGGCATTTTCACATTTCACATTTTTGGCTCACTGAGTGAGCTTGTGTCGTGGCGTTGTCCGTCGCCCGCCCCTGGATGTCAGCATGCCTACAACGTAGAAATGACCGTCGAGACGAACCGGACACTTCAGGAGAATGTCTTGCATCATCCAAAACATAAATCGGGGGCACGGTGGCCCAGTCGTCTAAGGCACCGCGATTCGCTGTGCAGAGTTACGTCCCTTGGGCACGCCAGAAACCTATGACTGTGGGTTCGAATCCCGGTTCGTACCGATTATGTTTCTAGGTTTGTCAGCACCATACCCGTGCTCGTGTGTTTCATCGAAGTGGTAAACGTCTGAGACCTGCATCACTTCGGGCTTTCCTCCAACATTAAGCTGACACGCCGCGATATAACTGGAATACTGTTAAAAGCGGCGTTAAACCCAACTCACTCACTCACTCACACATCATAAATCGTCTTCTAAGAATCTTCTTCTTGGAAACGGAAACATAATGAGATTCACATTTGTTCATACACAACAGGGGGTAGCCTGGTGGTTAAAGCGTTCGATTATCACGCCGAAGACCCGGGTTCTATTCCCCACATGGGTACAATTTGTGAAGCCCATTTCTGCTAAAAACGGCGTAAAACTATACCCACTCACCCACTCACTCAGTCATACGCTATAGTAACCTTTACACTTTCTTCCGAATTTTGTTGTATGATTAAATTGGTTTGAAATCCTTGAAAAGTATTTTCAACAAATTCAATCTCAAGCGAGATGAAACATTATGAGGGTATGAAGAGCTGTAAAGTAATTTTGATTCGCTCAGCGTATTGAATTGAAAACCTGACATCACACCATGGTTGCTATTGTCCAATGCAGTGTTCCTCGCGTAAAAATGTCCATTGCAAGAATATAACTCTTCAGGAATGTATCTCACATTTTAGTGTCACTAATCAAATGTTGATGTGAATAGATCAATAGCAATGACAATCTAGTTTATGATCCTTATATCTATTCGTTATATTCATGAAGAGGTGAGTAAGGGAGTATTGTTTTACGTCGCTTTGAGCCATAATCCAGACACACAATGTATCACGGCAGCGGAAGCCAGAAAAGGAGTTCACACATTGTGACCATACAGTGAGTCGAACCCGAGCGACGATTTAGCACCTAAGCTACCCTTCTGTCCTATTCGCAATGAGATTGTGGCTTATACGAGATAATGCACAAGGACAAACCTGATAAACTTTGTAACACCAATTCCATGTCTGGCAGGGGGCACGGGTGGCCCAGTCGTCTAAGGCGCCGCGATTCGCTGTGCAGAGTTGCGTCCCTTGGGCACGCCAGAAACCTATGATTGTGGGTTCGAATCCCGTTCGTACCGATTATGTTTCTAGGTTTGTCAGCACCATACGCGTGCTCGTGGGTTTCATCGAAGTGGTAAACGTCTGAGACCTGCATCACTTCGGGCTTTCCTCCCACATTAAGCTGACACGCCGTGATATAACTGGAATAATGTTAAAAGCGGCGTTAAACCCAACTCACTCACTCACTCCATGTCTGGCATATGTAACGTATGATATGAGAGCAAGATGAAAGTGACCAAGAGATGTCCTACATCTGTATCTCTGGGGCATGGGCAGCCCAGTTCAGTTGCACTGCAGTCAAAGTACCATAACTATGGTATTGATACCAAGGGTTTTAAATTCCCACATTTGCAGACGCGTGCTGCGATGACATACATGTACAACTTCTTAACTCATGTCTGTATTAAGTGAATCATTCTACCTGATGGAAAGGTCTTTAGGAAATCCATGCCATCGGTATTGATTTTTGGTTCCTGTAATATAATGCATTTTAACTTCTGTGGTGGAAATCCATATAATTAACGCACATTGATGTAAATATAATTAGTCGAACGTTTTTTTTTAATTAGCGACTTGTGAGAATGGCACTTTTTATCGCTTTTAGCGTTACGACGACATCAATGCACACACATGGCCTTCTAATTAGTTGCGTTTTACGTTAAGAGGAATTGACGACGTTTTCAGAGATTAATTACACCAACGTCCTCAAAAGTGATATTTGCTAATTGCAACATCTAATTCAAATATTCTCGATTTTTTTAACGTTAAAAGATTTACAAATTCATGAAGAAGCTCGTTATCAAATTGCAGTCAAAACGCGTATGAGATAACACCACACAATAAGCTAGTTTCATTGCGGTACCCGTGTACTGGACACCAGGTCTTAAAGGTCTTGCTCAAAAGGGTTACACTATTCAAGGCCTCAGTAAAGATTTCAAAACGTTTAATGGTAGGCATGTGGAAGACAATTCCAAATTTGACGCATAAGTGCCCAACTGATGTTCGATACAATTCCCTATGTTGACTTGGGCCCTGTGCTCTAGTGGTTTTCTGGTGAACACTTGCCTTGCCTTCGCATGTGTTTGTGACGGATGCCACCTATTGGCTCACCTTTTCGCAAACACTTGGTATCACCACTAATTATAAATGATTCCTACACACATGCAATCGTACAATTGACTCTTCTATCAACAGAGATTCGTATGATTATGGAAAGTCTGTTGCTTTTATATACCTATTTACATCAAGCAATATGTTATTTTCAAACAAGGGTAACCTATTTCCAATCTTCCAAATCCAATTTTCAAATACCAATCCTTGCATTACAAAGAAATATTGTCCACTGAGATCAAACTATAGATATATCATTGGAAAGATAGCTGCTTTGTTGGCAACGGTCCGTTCTTTTTGAAAGTTGTAAACTAGCGTACATTCCAAGCTACGTCCAACCTCTGAAAGCTTGCACTTAAATAAGAAACCCTTCCCTGCATTTTGTATCCTGATATGACAATGTATTACATCTTACACAAAGTTTATATTTCTTCCTAACTCGTTTGTCAATTTTTACCTTTATTTTAAGCTTACCAGTAAAAGTTGTATATAACATAAGCATGCAATAAACCTATTGTCCTTAATCACGTTGCATTGTTTATGTGTCAGACAGAATATCATCATATATGGTGTGTCAATGATGTTATGTACACGAATTTGTACATACTTTACTTGATATAGACGACCGCCTCCGTGGTCTAGTGGTAGAGCGTCCGCCCAGAACATGGAAGGACGGGTTCGATCCCCGGTCGTGTCATACCAAAAGACGTTAAAATATGGTACTTGTTGTTATCCTGCCTGGTTCTCGCCATTAAGGGGCTAAAGCCAGAAATGGTCGACTCGGAGTCAATATACTGTGTCTGAGTGGGGTATTCATGTGAAACTGCGACATGGTATCTCAGTGTGCTAGCACTATATAATCGGCATTAGTCCGGACCAGTACAATCAGCCACACACACATGCACGCACGTCGCAATGCAAGTGCAATGATCTTGAACGCGTCATTAAACCCCATTTCACCTCACCTTAGATATAGACGGACTAACACTAATGTGATGACAGGAACTAATGACCAACACAAATCCGTTGAAATATAACACGTTAATCGAACTATAAATATAACGTGAATATCAACGTATTGTCATGTGTATAATCATGACGAACAGTTGGATTAAATATGTATTACTGTGTCGGTAGGAGATATGGCAATCACACTAATGACGAAAAACTCGATTGCTAATGAGATGAAGGTTAAAAATAACCCGTTTGTCATGGTTGTGTATTACGTATCCTAAATGTCCTGTTTCTGTGAAGATCCGGGGTAGAATAGGTCTTCAGCAACCCATGCTTGTCGTAAAAGGCGACTATGCTTGTCGTCAGAGGCGACTACCGGGATCGGGTGGTCAGGCTCGCTGACTTGGTTGATGCATGTCATCGATCCCAATTGCGTGGATCGATGCTCATGATGTCCATCACTGTATTGTGTGGTCCGCCGTCATTTAGCTAGAATATTGCTGAGTGCGGCGTAAAACAACAAATAAACAAAAAATTCCTCGGGACACAACGTCCCGCCATCAACCGAGTCACAGAGTCTCACCACTCACCAAGTCTCCTTCCACAACATTTACAAGTTCTTCCAGTACACGAATTCTGGAGTTAATTTTAATATATAAATATTCTTTTTCAGAAAAACTCCTACATGAGCACGTGTTCTGGGGACACCATTGCTCACCTCAACGATAGCGCCAACAAACAGCTGTTCACGAAAACAGGATACTACAAGGTGAATGTAATGTTTTGTAACAGTTGAAAGTTATAGGGGATATGGTGACGCTTTTGTTTAAGGCACCGTGATGCACTTTGTAGAATTATTGCGTCCCTTAGAAGAAAACGATCCGCGGATCACTGGTTCTAATCCCAGATAGGCCCCGAATGAGATCCATGGTCTGTGAGAATCATATCTCACCCTACCACCCTGTCTCTCAAGAAACCAGTGATGAATAATATGAGCAACGGCCAACGTCGCCGGAGCCAAGTCACCGAAACGGACTACCCGATCACCGTTCAAGGCAAGCGCCCCTCACGACAGTCATTGTTTGCTGGGAACCGATTATGACCGGGAACCCCCTCGGAACCCCACCATCTACCCTCATGGCCACACACACATACACTCACGCCAGAAACATATGATTGTGGTTCGAATCCCGGTTTGCCCCGATTATGATTCTAGGTTTGTCAGCACCATACCTGTGCTCATGTGTTTAAACCGAAAGTGTTAAACGCCTAGGAACTGCATTGCTTTGGGTTTTCCACCCACATTAAGCTAACACGCCGCGATATAACTGGAACACTGTTGAAAGTGGCGTTAAACCTGCTTCACTTACTCATTGCTATTTTTCCAGGGAGCAATGCCGTGAAATAAACGAATACTGTTTAAAGTGGCGTTAAAACTACCTCACTTACTCATTGCTATGTTTCCAGGGAGCTATGCCGTGAAATAAACGAATACTGTTGAAAGTGGCGTTAAACCTCACTCACTTAATGTTATTTTTCCAGGGAGCTATGCCGTGATATAAGTGGAGTACTGTTGAAAGTGGCGTTAAACCTAACTCACTTAATGTTATTTTTCCAGGGAGCTATGCCGTGATATAAGTGGAGTACTGTTGAAAGTGGCGTTAAGCCTAACTCACTTAATGTTATTTTTCCAGGGAGCTATTGTTGCTATAAAACCAATACGGAGGGCAACAATAACGATCAGCAAGCCTCTCTTACTCGAAGTGAAACGGGTAAGAGACCTCTTCATCAATAACTCAGGGATGTTATTGTCCCGACCTTGATAAAATACAACGTAAGACTACAGGTCAAATTGAAACTAAGCATAAACCTAAATTGAACAGAAATATATGCATCATTATCATTAAGTTAACAAGGTAAAAGAACACTCATCTTAACTCACCGTTTCAGGTAAAAGACCTACAGAACGACCATATTGTCAGATTCGTTGGGGCGTGCATAGATTCTCCCAATAAGTGCATCCTCACAGAATATTGCCCGAAGGGCAGCTTACAGGTAAACACACCTTAACGAGATTAGTGTGTATCTGTTTTCGAGCGGAGAATGTGAAATACGAATGCCTAGCAACAAAAGGAATGAACAGTTTTGGTAGTTTTTAAAAATAATTTGTTCCAGACTTTGAAATTCCGTTCAGCTGGAGTTGAATCCTGTGTTCCGAATACAGTTATTGAATTGTCATTTCACGAGGGTCGTCTGTATTATATATGTGTTTTATCTGGGTCTATTTTTTAAGAGTCCAGGGGTCCATGAATGAACATGGGGATATTTGGTAACATGTGGCACGCTTCTGTTTTCCAAGGATTTTACTGATTGATATTGAAGAAACTCAACCATTGACGCTTCCCCAAGAACTCGCAATGTAAATTATGTGCCTCAATTTCCACTTTGTATACGTTCAGGACGCAATATGTTAGGTCCGTTTGATAAAAGCCTGATTGATTCTTTTGTATAGTATAGACTGTGTTTACTTTGTCTCGAGATCCAACATCGTTTGGTTTTCAGGATGTCCTGGAAAATGATCAAATAAAACTTGACTGGATGTTCCGGTATTCCATCATGCAAGACATAGTGAGAGTAAGTACCTTGTATCCACGTTCCCATGACGCCCCACCCGTTAAGATCCGGGGTAGTATACGCCTTCAGGAACCCATACTTGTCGTAAAAGGCGACTGTGTTTGTCGTAAGTTAAAAGATTTTACAAATTCATGAAGAAGCTCGTTATGTCCTGGAAAATGATCAAATAAAACTTGACTGGATGTTCCGGTATTCCATCATGCAAGACATAGTGAGAGTAAGTACCTTGTATCCACGTTCCCATGACACCCCACCCGTTAAGATCCGGGGTAGTATACGCCTTCAGCAACCCATACTTGTCGTAAAAGGCGACTGTGTTTGTCGTAAGAGGCGACTAACGAGATCGGTTCTTCCGGCTCGCTGTCTTGGTTGATATATGTCATCGTATCCCATTTACGTAGATCGATGCTTGTGATGCAATCACTGGATTGTCTAATCCAGACTCGACTATTTACTGACCGCCGTCATATAGCTGGAATATTGCTGAGTGCGGCTTAAACAACAAAGAAACAAACAAACAAACAAGTATTATACCTACGGACGTAGAACTAAAGTCCGAGCAAAAGAATATATGCACCCATGTTTGACAGTGGCTAAAAAAAGCAAAAAAGGAAATGGTTACACGATGGTGATGAAGTTGATCTATTCTGCACAATGAATATATTTCGTCAGTTTTACTTAAATAGTCTGAATAGCCAGTAAATTCCTGGCTCAGAATCAACTGCAACAAAAGCGTGACGTCATAATATGATTTAATCCATTCATTTATATTGAATACATTTTTTTCTATATTTACATTTTTTTTTCATTTTTATTATTTCAATCTTTATTCACATTTCAAATAAAATACAACGTGTTACATTTCATCAATTATACATTATTCAAAATCCAATCCCTTTACATCAAACTTTCAAAACATATTGAAAATATAGACAAACATAAAATATGATTGAAAAGTCTGTGGAAGGAAGGCCAGAACAGAAAGAAAACTCTATAATTGCAATTTGAGAATGGAATTAATTTGGTCATATTGTAGTATCTAACAACTTCACGTTGAATATATTTATTTGAACATTAGCTGTCAACCATTTCGTGATTGTTTAAACACAATACATTTGATAAGTAATATACCTACATTGAGAGAGTTGTTATTCTTCCCCTTAATCCAAATAAAATATTCTCTTTACAGAAATCAAGTCTTCTTTCCACAGATATCGTTAACCTAATATTAGATTCTATTCACTACTTCATATTAAAAAACTGGCAGATTTCCAGTTGAATGATTTGATTAATATAAACTGCAAATAAATTTATTATATATACACATCTAGCTTGGCATGTACAATTCATTGGTTACATATAACCTTCATTGATGTGTTTATTGTAATATGTGTAGTGGAGCGGTATTAACATAAACGCTTCGCTTGTTCACCAAACCATTTTCACACTTTTGTGCAAATAAATATGTTTAACCCAGATGTCGTTAACCCGTTGAGAACAAGCTCCCACATCTGAGCAACATATTCCCAATCATAAAATGCATGTACAATAGTTTCACTCTATTTACCACTGAAGTTCAACTTGGTGAATCTTTATAACCAATACATGTACTATGTAAGTACTTACTTAAAGGTAATATGTAGTGGATAATCCTAAACTGAAACCATCTCAGTTCTACACTCTGGGTACACCTTGTTGCCATCAAATTAAATCCCACCCACTGTTCATCAGTAAATACTTTCTGTAAAGTTTCTTCCCTTTTAAGCATTCTATGACATTTTATAAACGCTGGTTGTAAGAGTATGTTATAGAAGAGTTTATTATTAAATAAGATAGCTGTGCCTCTTGCATTACTTTTATAAGGACTAAAGAGTATTCCCTGAATCCCCATTGCTGCCCTGTTAATTGTTCCTGCTCTGCGGTAAAATGTACAACTTGCAGACAATATATTTGTGCTTTACGCTTTCGCAAGAATCTAAATACCTTTTTCTTCTTTAATGGATCATTTAGGCCTCTACAATTATAAGATGTAACTTTTGCCTTCATAGTAATATATTTGGATGTTTCCAATGTATTTCCCTAAGGGGGAGATAAAAGTGAAAAGGTACACATTGTATTCATAAAATTCAAAATTTACTTCAAGAAAATATACAATATAAACATAAAAATGACTTAACTGGTTTCCCATCATATAGCGTTTCCCACGCTCAATATATTTACATCATTATTCAATAAATATTTTTTGTGATATACAAAGATCGCTCTGTTTATAACCCGGTCGTAAAGCGTAAGTAATCTGACCAGGAAGTCTTCGTTGTAACAAAGTCATAGGGATAACAGAGTGGTCTCAGCGCTGGCTCGTTTAGACAAAACCTTTAGGGGAGGCGTGGTAGCCCAGGGGTTAAAATACGTCACGCCAAAGGCCCAGGTTCGATTCCCGAAATTGGTACAATGTGTGACGCCCTTTCTGAGTGTTCCCTGGCATGATATGGCTGCAATATTGCTACAAGCAGCGTGAGTCCGAACACACCCTCTCGTAGTAAGGCCAGCCTTTTTTAAAAAAAGACTTCTTTAAAAATACATTGTACCTCGACTCCAAAAATTGATATGTGAAAAATATAGAGAGAGATAAGTAAAATGTTCTAAAAATCACATTTACTCCCGCTATGATAAAAAATATATAATTTTAAACACCATAATGAAAACCTTGGGCTGTTGAACATATATCTCACAAACTCCCGCCCACTTGATTAAAAAACAACAACATTCCACTTCCTCCACATTTTGAGCATATCGAAAAACATATTAGACATGGGGCATTTTAAAAATATGTTTTGTCGACCTGTCGACCTGACATTTTAGGCCAAAAATCCATAAACCAAAAAAGACAAAAATGGCTGGCCTAATCTAAATTTGATCCAAATGTTCTCCTATTGCAGGGTATGGCATATCTGCACAGCAGTGACATCAGGAGTCACGGCAACCTAAAGAGCACGAACTGTGTGGTGGACAGCAGATTTGTGGTTAAAATCACCGACTTCGGCCTTCACTACTTCCGGGAAGGCCAAGGCCTTATGGAGCAGGAGAGCACATTCGCCTTCTATAATAGTAGGTTATGTCATATGCCCATTCGGCTCGACTCACTCCGATAGGACCTTGGTAAGCACTGACAGGAATCCATATTGGAAGTCGTTTCGTTCACGTGACTATGACATTATAAAAACTGTCAGCAGTTGTGAACATTATATAACTATTTAAGTCGTTCCGTTAGTTTTGTCTTCAAATGAAAGTATACACCTTTCTATTTAGCACAGAATAACCTTATAATAATCTTCTAACACTCTCGTATATTATAAGAACCTTTTGCGGAAGGATTCTGCGTAACACGGTTTGGAGTAAAGTCACGCAATATCACTAGGACATTGCTGCCAGAGGTGCTCGGTAGGAAGCGACATAAGCCGAGTAGACCCGAGTAGGCCCGAGTGGTCATAAGCCAAGCGTGTGTTCTTTGTGTGATAAGCTGATGAAAGTTTAAACAGTCGGAGACCAGATATGTCGCATCGCGTTTAACGCTGAGTGCCTTAACCACTATTACATGCACAAAACGGTTTCTAAATCTTAAATCGATGCTTTCTTTCGTTTGATCTACTCACTGTATCCCGATTTCTAATCAGACTCATTACCTTCCGTAAGCGAGCAGGAATTTGTGGAAAATGTGTCTACATTGTAACATTTCAACACTGTCAACGTGAAACCTTTTCCTCAAATCATTAGGTAGCTCATGGTCTAGTGAATGTTGTGAGTTTATACTGAAACTTATAATACTCTTTACAAAGTCGTTGACACATAGATAACAACGCTCATTAGTAATGTAACGTTCCGCACTCGTCAGCAAAGAGGGTCTGGTTATTTCACAGACAATAAGAAGATGAAGACACGACCGTATCCATTCATGGCGCCAACCAAACAATTATCTCATTAAGATGTTTCAAAATATGACACAGAAGTTAGATGAACGTGACTTAATATGGTCGTAAAAGTAAGCATGGCTCAGAAGGGAGGTATTACTAACTCATCCGCTTAATGAGCATGAAACAGAGAGTCGGTGATCCGGTGGTATAATGCACATTGTTAACATGAACACTGACGTCTACTGTTGCCGTTCAATCATGTTAAATATTTACACAGTTTCACGGTAAAGTAGTCTCTAATTAGTCGACAAAATTCATGTCTTAGGGATGTATGAATACATTGAATTTGAAAGAAACTCATTTGAGATAATGGGCTTTGATGCAGTGATACAGTTTTGATGAAACATTTTAATATGTGCAAAGTTACTTGCTTTTTACCAGTGACGATCCAGGTCAGAATAGGTCTTCAGCAACCCATGCTTGCCGTAACAGGCGACTATGCTTGTCGTAAAAGGCGACTAACGGGATCGCGTGGTCAGGCTCGCTGACTTGTTTGATGCATGTCATCGTATCCCAATTGCGTGGTTAGAGGCTCATGATGTCACTCACTGGATTGTCTGGTCCAGACTCTATTATTTACAGACCGCCGTCATATAGCTGGAATATTGCTGAGTGTGGCGTTTAACAACAAACAAACAACAATCAACAAAACCTCTTGCTTGTTGCTACCATCACCAGATATAACATGTCTGCTGTTTCAGGATAACGTTTACCTAGAAGTAGGCTCGGAAGACCAAAAACATGAACTTGTATACTCACTATATATCAAAACATATTTCACACTTCTAATAATTTCAAGTTTCATACATGCAGGCAGTATATAGACTATATCAACTTACACAATATGAACAAATTGCAATAGAAACAACATCCAAATCAATAACAAAAAACTAAATCAAACGAAAATCCAAAGTAATCTACATCTATCAGTAGTCTTGAAATCAAGCAATTAGAATTTGTTATTTTGGAATGAAGTGTTCGAAATAAGCGCCTGCTCGTAGGCCCGTGGCAGGTAGATATTGAGTCGGGACCACCGTTTCAAATTTGTATGGGTCCTTATAGGTCTTCAGCAAACCATGCTTGCCGTAAAAGGCGACTATGCTTGTCGTAAAAGGCGAATCGGGTGGTCAGACTCGCTGACTTGTTTGATGCATGTCATCGATCCCAATTGCGTGGTAAGAGGCTCATGACATTAATCACTGGATTGTCTGGTCCAGACTCGATTATTTACAGACCGCCGTCATATAGCTGGAATACTGCTGAGTGCGGCGTTAAACAACAACCAACCAACCAACCTTATAGCCCTATAGTAAATGTGCGTGTCGGTTTATTTGTCACAATAAGCTGCAGTTTTTTTAATGTGGGCCAGAGGTGTCACCAGGGCCTGCAGTTTCTAAAGTCGGAACGTCCTGATGGCAGCCTGGAAATTTATTTTACTTCCAACACTGGAAGGATCACGTGTCCCATTGGAAAACTGAAAGATAACTTTGTCCACTGGTCTCATGCTTGGTTGGTTGGTTGGTTTGTTGTTTAACGCCGCACTCAGCAATATTACAGCTACATGACGGCGGTCTGTAAATAATCGAGTCTGGACCAGACAATCCAGTGATTAATTTCATGAGCATCGATCCACGCAATTGGGATACGATGACATGCATCAACCAAGTCAGCGAACCTGAGCATCCGATCCCGTTAGTCGCCTTTTACGACAAGCATAGTCACCTTTTACGGCAAGCATGGATTGCTGAAGACCTATTCTACCCCGAATCTTCACTGGTCTCATGCAGAGCAACTGATGGATTAGCTTAACTATCAAACTTGCTCATTAAACGAATAACACAAAGGAAACTGTTCTAATCATCAATGCAACAAGCGAATGAAATCAGCTTTGAGAAGCAAATTTGAGATCACATTATTTTAAAGTTCCGTAAACCTATATCTTGCTACTAAATCAAATACTACAATCTCAGGAACATAGACAGACACGAAGGTTTGATCTCTAACAGAATTTAGAAAAAATAATTAAGTAACGTTTTTTGTAATGATGGTCTGTGATTTTTTCAATCGATGCGGAAGGAGTTCGCTAATCAAGTAAACATCGCTCCGGCCACTAGCAAAGGGAGCAATGATGTGGCGTGGTTGAAGCAGCTTTGAGAACCAGAGTTCAACATCTGAATTCATTTCCGCGAGGCGCCATTATACACAGGTCATCTTCAATGATTCTTTCAACTTCAGCATGTGCCGGGGGGTAGTTAAATCTTGTCACTAATTTGTCTCTTTATCAAACATAGCTCTTATCCTCGTTTCCTTTGAATCAAGACGTTGTCCGTAATTAGATTGAATGGAAGAATATCCCTTGCTTTTTCAGGAACCCTGTGGACGGCTCCAGAGCTTCTGCGCATGCCCGATCGACCACCAGAGGGCACGCAAAAAGGAGACGTCTATAGTTTTGCAATTATCTGTCAAGAGATTGTGTACAGAAACGGCGTATTTCATATGCATCACATAGATCTTTCACCCGAGGGTAAATATTGTTTCAGAATTATTAATAAAGCAATGTTTCCCACAAGGCTTAGGCTCAAATTCCGTTTGATTAAATCTTATTACATGCTCTGTTTCAACGCTTGGAAACCCCACACGGATTGTCGTAGTACCGTTATTGCGATTTGTCGTCGACGGAGGTGAGACAAAACATTACATGATTAAACTATAAGGGATAGTGTGAACACTCCGGTAAAAAAATATTTTGATAGGGTTATCTCTTGTTTTATGTCAGATGTCTTAAAAAGCTAACCTCGAAATTGAAGTGGAATAAGGTCATAATAACGGTAAAAATAAATTATGTCTCCTTGACGTGGTCGCAAACTGAATAGCATGTGATTAAGTAAATCGTCTTTTAATGATGCATCTATCATTTTCATGTCAGAAATAATTACGGTTATCCTTGGAGTGAGTGAGTGAGTTGGGTTTAACGCCGCTTTTAACAGTATTCCTGTTATATCGCGGCGTGTCAGCTTAATGTGGGAGGAAAGCCCGAAGTGATGCAGGTCTCAGACGTTTACCACTTCGGTGAAACCAACGAGCACGGGTATGGTGCTGACAAACCTAGAAACATAATCGGGGCGAACACGGGATTCGAGCCCACAATCATAGGTTTCTGGCGTGCCCAAGGGACCCAATCTGCACAGCGAATCGCGGCGCCTTAGACGACTGGGCCACCCGTGCCCCGGTTATCCTTGGAAATCAAAGAGTGAAATGACCTGATGGTACAAGCGCTTTAATTCATGGTAGAGTGAGTGATGCTACAAGAAATCGTTGTCTTGAGGTCGAATTCTACATTCTTTGTTTGTTTGTTGTTTATCGCCGCACTCAGCAATAGTCCAGCTATACGGCAGGAATCCTACATTCAAGACAGTTATGAACATTGGTTTGACGATAATCATCCAGAATCTTCATATGAACAAATGGCTGCCATGGATACCATATGGTGATTGGCTCTCAAAATGCTTGTTATGTCCTAAAGGTTCTGTGTTCCAAAATTTATGCTTCTGTCATAAAAGGCATAATTCTTTCACATATCTGTTGGCCTAACAAGCTGTGATACAACTGAAATACTATATGATATTAGCAGGGGCGCTGGGGTAGCTATAGCGTAGTGGTTAAAGTGTTTGCTCGTCACGTCAAAGGCCCGGGTTTCATTTGTCCGATGAGATGATTTTGCTGGAATATTGCTAAAAGCGGCGTAAAACCATAGTCAATCATTCAGTCACTTTGATATTAGTGTTTGAAACAGCTGGTTCATGCCGTTCTTTCAAAATGAAACCGGACATCAAATACCCAATAACACCAAAAATGCAATGTTCATCCTAATCCGGGGGCACGGGTGGCCAAGTCGTCTAAGGCGCCGCGATTCGCTGTGCAGAGTTGCGTCCCTTTGGCACCCCAGAAACCTATGATTGGTTTGAATCCCGGTTCGACCCGATTATGTTTCTAGGTTTGTCAGCACCATACCGATGCTCGTGGTGTCAACAAGGTGGTAAACGTCTAAGACCTGCATCACTTCGGGGTTTCCTCCCACATTAAGCTGGCACGCCGTGATATAACTGGAAAACTGTTAAAAGCGGCGTTAATCACAACTCATTCACTCACTCACTCACTCATCCCAATCCACTCACTTCCGTTTACCCTTTATATTTGAGCACTTCGTTTACATGACATTGTCAAATTAAATTTAAGAAATAAATAAGTCAGTTGTGATTTTTTATATGCTTTACATTGATTCCCTGGCAATGTTTCTTAACAATGCAGATATGCTTGTCAATACTATTAAGCTACGTATACTTTACTTCAATCTTAAATGAACTTCGGTTGACAAAAAATAATGAACATATAATCTAATGTGGGATCCACTGACACATTTAAAAAAACTGGGAAAAATCGGAATGTACATTTCTATAGTAAAAGCAAAGCGCCAGATGGATGAGACGCTCCAGCTAACAGAAATATCCGGGTCTGAGTGAGTGAGTGAGTTAAGGTTAACCCTCCGCTTTTAACAGTATTCAAGTTCTATCACGACGTGCCACCTTGATTTGGAGAAAAGCCCGAAGTGATGCAGGTGTCTGACGTTTACCACTTGTGAAACCCATGAGCACTGGTATAGTGCTGACAAACCTAAAAACATCGGGGCGAACCGTGATTCGAACCCACAATCATAGGTTTCTGGCGTGCCCAGGGGACTCTGCACAGCGAATTGCGGCGCCTTAGGCGACTGGGCCATTCGTGCCCCCGCCGGGTTTAATGAGACTCTACATAACAGCAATAGCGGGGAAAGGTAAAACGCTCCAGGTATCAGTTATCCGAGTACTGTGAGATGCTCCAGATCATTGCAATATCAGGGTACAACGAAACGCTCCGGGTCACGGCAATATCCGAGTCAGAGGAAACGCTCAAGCTCATTAAAAAAACAAAAGATCCTGACTCCAATCAAAAGCACGTCATCAAAGTAAGCTAAGGTTTTCATTTCCTATTTCTATCTGTTCTTCAGAGGTCTACCAGCTCGTTAAAGACGTAAAGGATGGACGTCGTCAAGTCTTCCGACCTTCCCTGGAGCATGCCGACTGTCCCTGCGATGAACTTGCTGATGTCATCAAAAGATGCTGGTCTGAGGATCCGGCTGAGCGACCAGACTTCCAGTCTCTGAAGACCATCATCAGAAAGCTGAACAGGTGCGTTAATCAAGAAAGTACCAACCTTGTTTGTAAGAGGACTACGAACATTCACTTTCATCCCATTTCAAGAAAACACGCCGTTTTTTGTCACATGTAAAACAGTAACGAAACATGTATTTTAACAACATTAATCAAATCGCGTCATGAAACAATCACAATAGTTAGTCGTATCAACGCATTTTTGAAAATGTACCGAGGCGTTTCATTGGTCACAGGGACGGAGACAAGGGCAATATCCTTGACAACCTGCTGTCCCGGATGGAGCAGTACGCCAACAACCTTGAGGCGTTGGTAGAGGAGAGGACATCGGACTATCTGGAGGAGAAGAAGAAGGCAGAGGACCTCCTCTATATGATGTTGCCGAAGTGAGTAGATATAGTGAGTGAGTGAGTTGGGTTTAACGCCGCTTTTAACACTATTCCAGTTATATCACGGCGTGTCAGCTTAATGTGGGAGGAAAGCCCGAAGTGTTGCAGGTCTCAGACGTTTACCACTTCGGTGAAACCCACGAGCACGGGTATGGTGCTGACAAACCTAAAAACATAATGGGGGCGAACCGGGATTCGAACCCACAATCATAGGTTTCTGGCGTGCCCAAGGGACCCAATCTGCACAGCGAATCGCGGCGCCTTACACGACTGGGCCACCCGTGCCCCCAAGTGAGTAGATACATAAGTGACAAAACCATTTCAATAATCAAAAACATTATCTTCTAAAAGCGAAGTCCACATTACGATCCCGACTATAGCATGAACATGCGTTTATGAATCACTATCAAATAGTGATGACACCAGGTGTTCGGTTTAAGATGAGCGTATCCTGTCCCATCGGTAGCACCCGTCACAAACACATGCAAAGGCAAGTCAATTGTTCACATGAAAAATATCACGGGAACATATGATACAAGTCAAAGTAAGGAATTGCATTGGATATAATTTATCACTGATGCGTCAAATTTGGAAATGTCCTCAAAATGTCAACCTCAAAACGTCTTATAAAGCTTTACTTAGACCTTGAAGTTTCGTATAGTGCTCTTTAAAATCTTCGTAGCAACAGTTTAGATGCTCGTTTAGTTCTTTTGGGGGCTGAAACATGAGGCAACACGAATGTTAATAAACCAGGAAACATGTCAACGCGTCGAAAGTTGTTTTGGGTGAATAAAATTCCAACACACCGCTCTTATGATGTTAATTGAGACGTGAGGAATTTCACAAACAAATTCCCGGTGTCTACTAGTTGATTTCATTCGCTACAGAGGACCAATGATTGTTATGTTGTCCAATCGCAACCTACGAGAAATCCGCCACCGCCTGTCACCTTGGGGTAGCCAGGTACGCAGTCATAGGGTTTCTCCGATTGTGACATTCTGAGTGCTATATAAGTGAACGATTTGAATTAAATGCAGTCTTCAGATTAAAAGACATACAGTAAACTACGGTTATAACGAACACGCTTATAACGAACTGATGGATATAACGAACTGGTTTTTAGGTCCCTGCCATTTGCTGTATATATGCTGTATATATGCTTATGACGAATTACGGTTATAACGAACTAGAATTTGTGGTCCCTTTGAGTTCGCTATAACCGTAGTTTACTGTAATTATATTATAATACGTTTTCACTGAATACATTATGTGTCAATAGTGACACCTCAAATAAGAAAGCGACGCCGTGGCAGGTTCACTTTCTGTATTCAATTTATCTTTAATTTTCAACATCAGAACCTGACGTTTCTTCTAAATAAGTTGATTTTTCAAGAAAGTATAAGATAATTTTCAACCATGTACCCTGACGTTTCAAGATAAAACAATGGCAATGCCCCTTATGGGCTTTTATATATTCAGGGGGCGGTCGGGTAGCCTAGTGGTTAAAGCGTTCGCTCGTCACGCCGAAGACCTTGGTTTGATTCCCGACATGGGTACAATGTGTGTAGCCCATTACTTGTGTCCCACGCCGTGATATTGCTGGAATATTGCTAAAAGCGGCGTAAAACCATACTCACTCACTCATACATTCAGTCCCCTTCCTCCCACATCAAGCTGACACGCCGTGGGGCGATGGTGTACACTTGTGGTTAAAGGGTTCGCTCGTCACGCCGAAGACCCGGGTTCGATTCCTCACACGGGTACAATGTGTGAAGACCATTTCTGGTGTCCCCGCCGTAAAATTGCTGGAATAAGAGCGGCGTTAAATCATACTCACCCACTGACTCACTTATTTTGGTTTGCCGGCAGTATTAGAAAATAGTTATTTTACGTGTGATTGATTCAACATGCTGTACTGTCTGTCGACTGATTGAAAGTGAAGTAAAATCCCATAGACTTCTTTCTATTGCCACACAAGCTACGAAAAGGCACGACATGACAATTTATGGAACTGCGCATATGTATAAACCTTGCATTTGATAATAATAGATAAAATAATAATAAAGTCGAGTCGGCGTGACGCAGAGACAAATAAATACACACACATCGTGAACACTCCCCGTGCACTGCATTACAATCGGCCACACTTCCTGTTTAAAGGAGATGAATTCCTACGTTGCACGCTGAAAAGGTGTGGCTCCATTGCATGCATAACTCTATTTACACGATATCGAAAAGGCTGTTCTTCTGTAATGGGGTCATTAATTACGACATTGATCTCAACAGGTCAGTCGCTCAAGCCCTTGTCCGTGGAGAGTCCGTAGCAGCTGAGGCATATGAACAAGTGACCATCTACTTCAGCGACATCTGTGGGTTCACTGCTCTGTCCGCAGCTAGTACCCCAATGCAGGTGTGTATTTCTGTCAACGTCTAGTACCCCAATGCAGGTGTGTATTTCTGTCAACGTCTAGTACCCCAATGCAGGTGTGTATCTCTGCCAACGTCTAGTACCCCAATGCAGGTGTGTATTTCTACCAACGTCTAGTACCCCAATGAGGTGTGTATTTCTGTCAACGTCTAATACCCCAATGCAGGTATGTATTTCTGTCAACGTCTAGTACCCCAATGCAGGTGTGTATTTCTGCCAACGTCTAGTACCCTAATGCAGGTGTGTATTTCTGTCAACGTCTAGTACCCCAATGAGGTGTGTATTTCTGTCAACGTCTAGTACCCCAATGAGGTGTGTATTTCTGTCAACGTCTAGTACCTCAATGCAGGTGTGTATTTCTGTCAACGTCTAGTTCCCCAATGAGGTGTGTATTTCTGTCAACGTCTAGTACCCCAATGCAGGTGTGTATTTCTGTCAACGTCTAGTACCCCAATGAGGTGTGTATTTCTGTCAACGTCTAGTACCCCAATGCAGGTGTGTATTTCTGTCAACGTCTAGTACCCCAATGCAGGTGTGTATTTCTGTCAACGTCTAGTACCCCAATGAGGTGTGTATTTCTGTCAACGTCTAGTACCCCAATGCAGGTGTGTATTTCTGTCAACGTCTAGTACCCCAATGCAGGTGTGTATTTCTGTCAACGTCTAGTACCCAAATGCAGGTGTGTATTTCTGTCAACGTCTAGTACCCCAATGCAGGTGTGTATTTCTGTCAACGTCTAGTACCCCAATGCAGGTGTGCATTTCTGTCAACGTCTAATACCCCAATGCAGGTGTGTATTTCTGTCAACGTCTAGTACCCCAATGCAGGTGTGTATTTCTGCCAACGTCTAGTACCCCAATGCAGGTATGTATTTCTGTCAACGTCTAGTACCCAATGAGGTGAGTATTTCTGTCAACGTCTAGTGCCAAGGCAGCTGCACACGTATGTGAATGCACGTAGCTATACAAGTCAAATAATCTTGAACACGACGTTAAACTCCATTTCACCATTTAACCACACTCACTTATATTAGATATTACTTAAAGTGACTACAAACCTCATATATTTTTAGTATGGAGGCTATAAGAAACAAGTTATTGTATGTCACATTGCAATGTGTTTAGGATATTTGTTACATATACATATGTATGTTTGTTTGGTGTTTAACGCCACACTCAGACATATTCAAGCAATCTAACGGTGGTCTGTAAACAGACAAGGACCAGACAATCCAGTGATTGATATCATGATCATCGATCTACTCAACTGGGATACGATGGCACGCATCAACGAAGTCAGTGAGCCTGAACTAGGATACTTAAGATCAATTCTAACCCTATTTTTTAGCAACCTAATCTAGTCTTAAGATACGACTGAATAGATCGTGTGTCAGACTTGGTAACTTGATCATGTGTCAATGTTTCTCGAAGGCGTGGCTCGTTGTCATAACATCACGCAGTGGTTTGTCTGGACCAGACCTGCTTATTAATAGGCTGTTATCATATTTCTAGGATGTGTGGCGTTAAACGACAAATAAACATTGTGTTATTATTCTTTACTACTTTAAATATATATGCTGCCATGAAACGTTTCCTTTTCTATTTTTAAGGTTATTGATCTGTTGAATGATCTCTACACGACGTTCGATTCCATCATCGAAAACTTTGATGTCTATAAAGTAAGAAATACGGATCCTTCTTTAGTTTGACGCCGACTATTTGATATTCTGGGTACTTTACATTGGATATTGGTACTGGATATTTTTGGTAAAAAACGCCATTGTTTCAAACGTGCTGAATGATATGACAAAGTATTGTTTTGTTGGCAAAAAGCTTCTGATGTCGAAGAATAACTCTCTATCTTTCTTGAAAAGCTGATTGAAAATATATTGTCTGTAGGCCACACCCAGAATATTATATGGTCGTTGTTTTCATCCCCTGAGTTTTATTTGATAAAAAAATCAATGAATTCATCATGAACATTTATAAACAAATTAATTGTATTCCTATGAACATATAGTGATTTCAATAGAGCATTCAGTCCCAGTTGATACGTATATGTTTAAATATACGTCTTGCACCAGATACAGTGGTATCGATCATCGATCTACACAACTGAGGCATTATTATTATTATTATTATTATTATTATTATCATTATAATAATAATAATAATAATAATAACAACAACAACAACAACAATAATAACAATACAAGTAATAATCATAAAAATCATAATCATAATCATAATCATAATAATACTGCATGCACTGTCACTGAACGTGTCTTGTCCTGTTTTGTTCAAGGTTGAAACTATTGGAGATGCTTATATGGTGGTGTCGGGACTTCCGGTGAGGAACGGAAATATCCACGCACGAGAGATTGCGCGCATGTCCCTGTCTCTTCTAAATGCTGTACTGTCTTTCAAAATACGCCATCGACCCGAACATCGAATGAAACTGCGGATTGGCATTCATTCAGGTAGGAATTATAATATAATGGTAACGCTATCGAGGTCTTCCATTAACAGACAGTTCAAATACCCGAGGTCTCCTGCAAGTAATAATGCTCTAAAACATAGCGTTACCGTTATTTTAGCTAACATGGATAGAATTTATCCCCCCCCCAAAAAAATAAACAACAATATCGGTTTTGGTATATTTACTGCAATCAACACGAATTTCACTGACCCACTTTTACAAATATGGAATCGTAATTGAACAAACCAGATGACGTCGCTATTGAACGTGACGTCACATTTCACTATCCCTATGACGTCATCCATGGCCCGTGACGTCAATGGCCCGTCGTCAAGCAATATAAGGGCGTTGTCAGGTAACAGTGGCCCCTCATTTCTGATAACATAGGGGCGGTTTAATGATCATTCAATTCATTTTAGCTATAATATCATAAAAGATATATTCAGTCAGTTTTGGTTTATGGAATGTACATGAATCTTATTTTGAGATGTCAATGTAATTGGTATACTACTAATAGAAGAGTTGGCCTGGACGTCTAGTAACCCACAAAACACTGTCCAGAGTAGCGTCCATTATGCTTGTCAGAATGACGTGATTGCGGGTTGCAAATCACATTCGTTTTGATAAATATTCCAGGTAGGGACCAGCCATGTCATTTCGAGTTTCATGATAATGGTATGCGTCTAGGGCCTGCATCGCGTCTGGCTTTCCCCGCACATGAAACTGACACTCTGCATTATACCTGAAATGGTGAGGTGAGGTGAAATGGGGTTTAACGTCGCGTCCAAGATTATTGCACTTATATAGCGACGTGCATGTACGTGTGATTTATAGTGCTAGCTCACTGAGATACCATGCCGCAGTTTAACATGAATACCCCACTCAGACACAGTATACTGACTCCGAGCCGACCAGTCCTTGTTTTAGACCCTTAATGCCGAGCGCCAGACAGGGTAACAACAAGTACCATCTTTTAACGTCTTTTGGTATGACGCGGCAGGGATCGGACCCCGGACCTTCCGCTCTCCGGGCGGACGCTCTACCACAAGACCACGGAGGCGGTCTTTAATGATGTTTAATGCGGCGTTTGTTCACCGTGTTCATTTGCCTGTGAAGCGCGAAGTTTCATCTGAATGTTTTGTGATTTCCTTTACCAAAGTTCGGTTGTAATGTCATCATACCAGGGTGCCGTTTACGATCTTAACACTAAGGTGATCGTAACTCTCATACCTTAACATAGACTTACGACAGTCGTAGCGATAAGGTGATCGTTACTCCCATACCTTAACATAGACTTACGACAGTCGTTGTGCTGCGGTGATTGTAACTCCCATACCTTAACATAGACTTACGACAGTCGTAGTGCTAAGGTTGTTTCGTACAACGGCCCCAGGACAATATATATATATAAAGTCGAGCTCTTCATCAGAAATGAAATAGTAGCGGTTCAATACCAAAGGCACAATACAGTATCACTTTAAATTTTTTTGTAGACTTCATTAATTTGTATATTTGCATATTTTCGCAATTCGAACAAAAATACATCTTTCAACACGTTACGTACCGACCGTAGCATAGCAGATAGGGGTATGCAGAGGGAACGTAGCTGATTAATCCCTCGGGATGCGGGTTTTAAATATCAAAACAACCCTCGGACGTGTTTTATCCTATACATACTAAATAAACGACCCGTTGCCGTTGTTTATCGTACAATAAAAAAATGGAGGGAGATTAAACCAAAGGTGGTGCGCGCCTCGTGTTTATTCTACCTGCATTGTTTTATTATACGATAAACAACTCCCACTCATCGTTTATTTCTTAATTACATGACAGTGCCACAGTTTGTTTACTGGAATAATGTTTCCTCTTTCTCTTACATTTTCAGGGTCCGTATGTGCCGGAGTTGTTGGTCACAAGATGCCGAGGTACTGTTTGTTTGGAGACACTGTCAATACTGCCTCCAGGATGGAATCAAATGGATTACGTGAGTAATACTGGGCTATGGTCGTTAAGCTGCGTGATTGCTTGAGTCATAGGATACTGGACTATGGTCGTTAAGCTGCGTGATTGCTTGAGTCATATGATACTGGACTATGGTCGTCAAGCTGTGTGATTGCTTGAGTCATAGGATACTGGGCTATGGTCGTTAAGCTGCGTGATTGCTTGAGTCATATGATACTGGACTATGGTCGTCAAGCTGTGTGATTGCTTGAGTCATAGGATACTGGACTATGGTCGTTAAGCTGCGTGATTGCTTGAGTCATATGATACTGGACTATGGTCGTCAAGCTGTGTGATTGCTTGAGTCATAGGATACTGGGCTATGGTCGTTAAGCTGCGTGATTGCTTGAGTCATATGATACTGGACTATGGTCGTCAAGCTGTGTGATTGCTTGAGTTATAGGATACTGGGCTATGGTCGTTAAGCTGCGTGATTGCTTGAGTCATATGATACTGGACTATGGTCGTCAAGCTGTGTGATTGCTTGAGTCATAGGATACTGGGCTATGGTCGTTAAGCTGTGTGATTGCTTGAGTTATAGGATACTGGACTATGGTCGTCAAGCTGCGTGATTGCTTGAGTCATAGGATACTGGACTGTGGTCGTCAAGCTGTGTGATTGCTTGAGTCATAGGATACTGGGCTATGGTCGTTAAGCTGTGTGATTGCTTGAGTTATAGGATACTGGACTATGGTCGTCAAGCTGCGTGATTGCTTGAGTCATAGGATACTGGACTGTGGTCGTCAAGCTGTGTGATTGCTTGAGTCATAGGATACTGGACTGTGGTCGTCAAGCTGTGTGATTGCTTGAGTCATAGGATACTGGACTGTGGTCGTTAAGCTGTGTGATTGCTTGAGTCATAGGATACTGGGCTATGGTCGTTAAGCTGTGTGATTGCTTGAGTCATAGGATACTGGGCTATGGTCGTTAAGCTGCGTGATTGCTTGAGTCATATGATACTGGACTGTGGTCGTTAAGCTGTGTGATTGCTTGAGTCATAGGATACTGGACTGTGGTCGTCAAGCTGTGTGATTGCTTGAGTCATAGGATACTGGACTATGGTCGTCAAGCTGTGTGATTGCTTGAGTCATAGGATACTGGGCTAATGTCGTCAAGCTGTGTGATTGCTTGAGTCATAGGATACTGGGCTATGGTCGTTAAGCTGTGTGATTGCTTGAGTCATAGGATACTGGGCTATGGTCGTCAAGCTGTGTAATTGCTTGAGTTATAGGACACTGGGCTATGGTCGTCAAGCTGTGTGATTGCTTGAGTTATAGGATACTGGGCTATGGTCGTCAAGCTGTGTGATTGCTTGAGTTATGGGATACTGGACTGTGGTCGTCAAGCTGTGTGATTGCTTGAGTCATAAGATACTTGGCTATGGTCGTCAAGCTGTGTGATTGCTTGAGTTATAGGATACTGGGCTGTGGTCGTTAAGCTGTGTGATTGCTTGAGTCATAGGATACTGGGCTATGGTCGTCAAGCTGTGTGATTGCTTGAGTTATATGATACTGGACTGTGGTCGTCAAGCTGTGCGATTGCTTGAGTCATAGGATACTGGGCTATGGTCGTTAAGCTGTGTGATTGCTTGAGTCATAGGATACTGGGCTATGGTCGTCAAGCTGTGTGATTGCTTGAGTTATAGGATACTGGGCTATGGTCGTTAAGCTGTGTGATTGCTTGAGTCATAGGATACTGGGCTATGGTCGTTAAGCTGTGTGATTGCTTGAGTCATAGGATACTGGACCACGGTCGTCAAGCTGTGTGATTACTTGAGTCATAGGATACTGGGCTATGGTCGTCAAGCTGAGTGATTAGTTGAACCATAAGACACTGTGCTATTGTCGTTAAGCTGTGTGATTACTTGAGATGTATAATGGCACTCACTCTCCGCCCATGTCGTCTAAGGCGCCGCAATTGGCTGTGCGATCCCGTAAGTCGCCTCTTGCGACAAGCAAAGTCGCCTTTTACAACAAGCATGGGTTGCTGAAGACCTATTTTATTCCGCATCTCCACGGGTCTCTTCCGAAAAGAACCTGACACACAGGGGTATAACGGGCAGTTCAAAACAGCGTTAAACCTAACTCACTCTCTAAAAATAACTTTCCAGCTGAACAAAATGAAAATCAGTGCACGTTATATTGAGCTTGGCGTAATTATTTACTACTGTCCCAAATTCAAATAATTATCCCCGTCCTTGCATAAACACACATTGTTTAACGTTATCAAATATTTTATCCACGTATGGATAAAACGCTTAACTACAAGAAAACATCTTATGGCGATCACATTTGATGTGTGTCACTGGTTATGCTTAGATACATGTTTGTAATTCCTGAAACTTAAAATCATTATAAATACGAATGTATGTCATATCGTGATGAAATATGTCAAAACAATTCCTCTAATCGAGGTGAAAGCGGATATTAAAGCAAGGTTGACGTAAACATACATTTCGTTGAATGTGAAATAGTGAGAGAGTGAGTATGGTTTTACGCCGCTTTTAGCAATATTCCAACAATATCACGGCGGAGGACACCAGAAATGGGCTTCACACATTGTACCAATGTCGGGAATCGAACCCGGGTCTTTAGCGTGACGAGCAAACGCTTTAACCATTTAGGCTACCCGACCGCCCCAAATGTGAAATAAATGAATGTCAGAGTTTCCCCCAGAGCTTGTAGGCGTTCAAATAACAAGGGGCAACATAAGGGGAGAGTGAGTGATTATGGTTTTACGCCGTTTTTAGCGGCGGGGGACACAGGAAATGGGCTTCACACATTGTACCCATGTGTGGAATCGAACCCGGGTCTTCGGCGTGACAAGCGAACGCTTAAACAACTAGGCTAACCTACCGCCCAACATGAGGAGAGAAGCATAATTTAAACGGATATATGTACCGGAATGAAAACATTGAAATTCTTTTCTCTTTTTGAGTGAGTGAGTGAGTGAGTATGGTTTAACGCCGCTTTTAGCAATATTCCAGCAATATCACGGCGGGGGACACCAGAAATCGGCTTTACACATTGTACCAATGTCGGGAATCGAATCCGGGTCTTCGGCGTGACGAGCGAACGCTTTAACCACTAGGCTACCCGACCTCCCCTTTTCTTTTTGAACGAGGCTTCTAGTCAGAACTACTGTGCAGCGTTAGGACTGTTCAGTTTAAAGTTCTCATCGATTCATTCTCTGTATTTGTTTTCAGCATTGAAAATCCACGTCAGTCCACAGACGAAAGAAGCGTTGGAAGCATTTGACACGTTTGACCTTGAACTTAGAGGAGAAGTTGAGATGAAGGTATTTTCTGAATTCTTATTTTGAATAGATATGAACAAGATGATACCTTCCTAATTTTTTAAAATTTTTGCAACATTAAACGTATTTTATAGTAAAATAAGAAAGGTTATATGATCACTACAGGTATATTACCAGGCAATATACATCTCAAAACTTTGGCATATAGCATTTAAAAAAAAAAAAAATCAATTTAGTCAAACTTTCATTGCTTGAGTGCACATAGACTTTTCGTTAACTCATCAACGTTGTTAGTCGCTTCAAAGTGTGGGTGAAAGTTTGAATACCGTTTTATATTAAACCAAATACTTTTGGCATATTTGAAGCATATTAACTTAAAGGATAAGATATACACTTTAGTTTTGAGTGTCATTTGTTACAGTTTGTTATTTTATTTAATTGGAATGTTGAACTTAATTAATGATCTTTGACATTTTTATCATTGTCAAACTACACATAGCACTATAGCTAATTGTTTTATCTTCCACTGGCTCACGTGTTGCTGATGCGGTTAAAAACAGTTTTAATTCCCTTTCCAGGGCAAGGGAAGCGTCACAACATATTGGTTACAGGGCGAAACACCTGCACCAGAGCTGAAGAAGCCAGTTCATCAGAACTCAATATCCTGATTACAGTAACCTTGGTTACTGGAATTTCCTTGCAACTTTAAGTGGTTGCTTATTGTGTCAAAACCTCAATGTTCTATTCACTCCCATCATGGAGCGTAGATGACGGACGAAATATATTTGGAACTGTACCAGCTGACCAACATTTTAACAGCTAGAGCTGTCAGTGTGGATTAACAATTCTGCGAATATTCTTGATGCTGGAGATACCATGATCAATTAGGAACGGTTTCAAGAAACTGCCAAAATATGGTTTGTCCAGCAGAGGCCATTAACGTGCCCATTGGTCATATTTAAGACCAGTCGGCGTGTTTTTAGATTGTGTGATTGTCCCGAACAGATTTAACAAGCACAATGATAAATATATTGAATCTACTGATGCTTTGGAATATTGAAAATATTTCATGTTTAACATGCGTGTACTATATAAACATTCTTGAAGCCCGTGCATTGACCATGTTTTAGATGGTATTCATTGTCAAGTCATTTCATTTGTTCTTTATTCAGCTTGGCGAATGAAATTTCAACGAGCATGCATGTCAATATTGTCAATTCCATTTTACTAGCACCACGTGTTAAAGAATGATCGATGATGCGGAAAAAGTCGCTCGAAAATACAAGTGGTTGATGTCTGAATATGAGTGAACCTTTGTTTTTAACTTTCGAATTGTACAACATTATGACCCGCATGAGTTCATGGAATGTTGTGACCTCTGAATGAAATGATTTCAGAATAGGTTTCTATGTGACTTGTAGCCTTATAAACAAAACAAACTAATAGTAACCTGCACTACGATGTTAAATTTCCGATCGAAAGACACTGATTTCTTTGAAACGTTTGTTTTACCCTAAAATGGTTCTGCAAAATAAAGTATGCCATTTTAATATCCACTTGTTTTATTTGCATGACCATGAGATAAATTCATAATCGTAAATAATCGGGACTGGACCAGACAATCCAGTGATTGACATCATGAGCATCGATCCTTGAAATTGGGATACGATGACATGCATCAACCAAGTCAGTGAGCCTGCCTACCCGATCCCGTTAGTCGCCTTTTACGACAAGCATAGTAACCTTTTACGCCAAGCATAGTCGCCTTTTGTGGCAAGCACAGTCGCCTTTTACGACAAGCATAGTCGCCTTTTACGACAAGCATAGTCGCCTTTCACGACAAGCATAGTAGCCTTTTGCGACAAGCATAGACGCCTTTTACGGCAAGCTTAGTCACCTTTTACGGCAAGCATGGGTTGCTGAAGACCTATTCTACCCCGAAATCTTCACGGTTACCGGAATACGACGTTTCAGACAGACAAACCAACCGTGCCAAGAAGTTGGTTGGTTGGTTTGTTGTTTAACGCCGCACTCATCAATATTCCAGCTATATGACGGCGGTCTGTAAATAATCGAGTCTGGACCAGACAATCCAGTGATTAATATCATGAGCATCGATCCACGCAATTGAGATCGATGACATGCATCAACCAAGTCAGCGAGCCTGACCAGCCGATCCCGTTAGTCGCCTTTTACGAGAAGCATAGTCACCTTTTACGGCAAGCATGGGTTGCTGAAGAACTATTCTATCCCGGAATCTTCACGGGTCCGCCAAGATGTAATATTACAGACCTTGTATGGAGCTTCAACGCGATCACAGCGGTATAACAAAAGCATATGGCGAAGATTCATTTTATTTCAAAAAACTAGATCACACAAATATTTATAAGCCAAGTGACCATTGTTATAGTCACAAAACATCAACACCAGAGAACAGCCAGTCTAGATTATCCACCGAAACAGATTCCACGGGACTTCTTATACAGAGAAGCCTCATGAATCCAATTCCCTGTGAAAACGTTTGGATGAAGTGAGTAAGTGAGTAGGGTTTAAGGCCACGTTTAGCAATAGTCTAGCAATATCACGTCGGTAGACACCAGAAATGGGCTACACACCTTGTACCCGTGTGGTTGATCGAACCCGGGTCTTCAACGAGACGAGCGTTGGATTAAGGGAGTAATCTTACCTGGGTAATGTCCACATGGAAGACGTTTCAGTCAGGAATCATCTAAACGCAGTGATTGCAGAATAACAGGGTGCTTATTAACAGGGCTTCTATGTATGCTATCATGGTATCTGGCTGTCAGAGAATGGGGCTTTTAACTGACATATGAACTCATAGGTATTCCCGCAAACCCTATCTGTCCAGGTGGTTTTGGACCAGGAAGAATCTGCGGCAACGCAGTCTTCATCAACTCCATTATAGTTGTGACTTGGTTCTTTTTGGTCCCAACAGCTGAATGTAAGACGATCTCCGTCAATCCAGAAAAACGTGTTGTTACGATGGAGATCTCGTAAACCAATCCATACAACCCCTGAAGTGGAAAATAAATATGGAACCTTAACATATAACATATAATATATATTTGTGTTTTGTTTAACGCCGCACTCAGCAATATTCGAGCTACCTGACAGCGGTCTGTAAATAATCGAGTCTGGCCAGACAATCCAGTGATTGGCATCATGAGCATCGATCTACCCTTTTTGGATACGACGACATGCATCAACCAAGTCAGCGAGCCTGACCACCAGAATCCCAAAGTTTTGCCAAAACCAAACAAGAGAACAAAGTCATCGATATCCACTTCGATGGAAAATACTTGTCGTGGATAAATTTGTGAAACTTTCCAAACTATGAAAAGGCACCCGTTCACTCCTAGACCTATGTTATACGGTTTTTCAGGATCAGCTCTAGAAACGAGCACAACGCCCATTTTTTATTGTAAGTCACAGTTGTTGCTATGGAAACTCGACAAATATATTTATAATAAATCCCAAACTATTAAAAGACTCCAGCTTGAGAAACTGCTCTGGAAATAAGTACTACCCCCATTTTCAGTTGAAGCCAAAGTTGAAGTCCTATGGAAACTTGAATGGTTTTTTTTTTAAATCCAAAAAACTATCAAAAGGCACCAGTTCTTTAATGGACCTATCTATTTGCCAAGTTTTCCGAGCAAATATTGTACAGTTTTGCGAATCAGTTCCGGAAACGTCTCGTAAGACTCGTGCCCCTATCGATGAATGTTATGTGCGAAAATACGACAAACCAATCAGAATGCGCGTTTGATTTGAAGTTCTTTGTCAAAGAATCCCTCAGAAATAATGTTTGATTTTACCTATGTCTTGCATCTAAAAATATACCCAAGACACAGTTAAATGTGTTCAATCATACTGTATAATTTCGCATGACCCGATGTGATTTGAATTGCATATGAAATATATATAATATACTGGGAAAGATATGTGAACCATTACGCAACGTGTTGACAACTGTTTTAGGTATGCCCGTTTGCGCTAAGACGGAACCCGGTCGCAAAAATGGCCATGAAAGGGGCTTGTCCCGAAAAAACACGAGTTGGTCACGAATGAGTTGTGGCGAAACCGCATCATTGGTGGTTCGAGAAGGGAGCTAACCCCGCTTGCCTAATCGAAAGTATGAGGTGGGTCCACGTTCGAAACTAAACGCACTTGTTGCAGAGGATATGTAAAAAAAACTTGTTATAGAGAATATGTCAAAAATATGTATTACGAACTACTATTTTGTCTATTTAATATGAGTATTGTGACTTTTAATTGGATTAGAATATATAAATGCATAGAAATTACAGCAGAACTCACTTCTACAAACATCGCATAACTAGGTCGTGGGGTCATTAATATTCACAATTTCCCGGAAATTGTTAAAGGTCATATATGCTTGTATCATGACCGAGTTCGATTTAAATATAGACATAATTTTCAGGTTTATAACGCCACCGACATTTATGATTAGATTGATGTGTTATACTTGAAAACGTGGATTGTATGGTATTGCCTCTTAAATTTAATTTGAAGTACGTTTCTTGCGTTGTAACTATTTTTGCAAAACTTTATGGAACGAGAGTGATCAGCTGATGACGTTATTGAAACTTCATAGACTCCATAGAGGTAACGTTACACTATATAATTTATAAAGACATTTCCCATAAATAAGACAAAATGAGAACAAGATATATTGCACCATATCCATACAAAATAATTACAAATTTGAGCCCACTAAATCACTTAGTCAACCCAATGAAGCCTAGTGATTTACAAATGTGGGCCCACCCGTGTCGATCACTGTATACTAGTATATCACGGAAGGAGTGGACCCACATCTTAGAATATGGTTATAAGTGAGCCAACCCAATAAAGCCTAGCGATTTATAAATGTGGTCCCTCCTGTTGCAATCATTATGACGGAAAATGTGCGCCCACAATTAGAAATTGATAATCAGATCTAATTAAGCAGCCTGATGAAGCTAGGCGATATACAAATGTGGGTCCACTTGTTTCGATCACCATAAATGACGGGAAAAATGTGGGCCCACATCATAGAAAATTGTTATCAGTACGTTAATGGAACTTCGCGATTTATAAAGGTTGTCCTTCATGTTGCAATCTTTATGACGGATTAATGCCTGCCCACATTTAGAAATAGATTTCCAGCACCATAAGCCATCCAATAAGGCTTCTCTGTACTCCAACCGCCTCCGTGGTCTAGTGGTAGAGCGACCGCCCGTCGAGCGGAAGGTCCGGGGTTCGATCCCCGGCCGCGTCATACAAAAAGACGTTAAAAGATGGTACTTGTTGTTACCCTGTCTGGCGCTCGGCATTAAGGGGCTAAAACAAGGACTGGTCGGCTCGGAGTCAGTATACTGTGTCTGAGTGGGGTAATCATGTTAAACTGCGGCATGGTATCTCAGTGGGCTAGCACTATAAATCGGCATCAGTCCGGACTAGTACAAGCAGCCATACAAACACACACACGTACATGCACGTGGCTATATAAGTGCAATAATCTTGGTCGCAACGTTTAACCCAATTTCACCTCACCTCATCGCTGTAGTCCTATATAAATATGGGCCAAATTGTTTGGATCACTATATATAACGGGTGAAAAGTGGGCCCACATTTTAGAAAATTACTACCAGCACTAAATCAACCAAAGAAGATGTACATATTACACTCAACATATCACAACTATAGAGTTTCTAAAATGTTGGCCGACCTGCAGTAATCTCTATTAAGAAAATAAAGTGGGCCCACATTTGTTGAAAATAAATATTTCGACTTACTTATTCCCTGAGCGAGCTACGTTTTTAATTTTCTGCAAGTTACGGATGGGAAGAAAAATATATATTGTCTTCAAACATTTAATTAATAATACGGTTTACCTTTGGGATTAGATGGCCAATTAATAATTAGACCAACGACAACGTTCAGCGTGACTGACGCAATTTTTCGCAAATACGAAAACAGCGGAGATAGCGAGATTGAAATTAGAGTGACCTCCCTTACACAATATGAACCACTGATAATGCGGTTTCGCCAAAGTTGTTGCCACGGAAACTCCAAAAGTACACATTTTAAAAAATCCGAAACTATCAAATGGCACCAGTTTACGACAAAACCTATCTATTGCCAAATTTGGTGAACAAATATTGTACGGTTTTCAAGACTGTTCGACATCTTGCACGGACGGACTGACTAAACGCGTTGCGGGGGATATTCATTACACAGTTGGGTGTTTGGTTGTTTTGTAGTTTCGCCGCACTCAGCAATATTCCAGCTATATGACGGCGGTCTGTAAATAATCGAGTCTAGACCAGACAATCCAGTGATTGATATCATGACCATCGCTCCACGCAATTGGGATCCATGACATGCATCAACCAAGTCAGCGAGCCTGACCAGCCGATCCCGTTAGTCGCCTTTTACAACAAGCATAGTCACCTTTTACGGCAAGCATGGGTTGCTGAAGACCTATTCTACCCCGGAATCTTCAAGGGTCCCACGCAATTGGGAT